GTTCCTCTGGTGATGTAGAGGTTAACCCAGGCCCTGTAGCCCCAAGTATCACTCCTACCCCCCAGGCGCTATCGTTTGTTGACTTCTGTAACCGTAAAAGCCATCGGTTTCTTGCATGTTAACATCAGAAGTCTCCTCCCCAAGTTTGAGTTATTCACTGTGTTAGCACACTCTGCCAACCCTGATGTTCTAGCAGTGTCTGAATCTTGGCTTAGGAAGGCCACCAAAAATTCAGACATTTCCATTCTGAACTACAACATTTTCCGTCTAGATAGAACTGCCAAAGGGGGCGGAGTTGCAATCTACTGTAGAGATAGCCTGCAGAGCTCTATCATACTATCCAGGTCTGTGCCCAAACAGTTTGAGCTTCTACTTCTAAAAATACACCTTTCCAGAAATAAGTCTCTCACTGTTGCCGCTTGCTACAGACCCCCCTCAGCCCCCAGTTGTGCCCTGGACACCATATGTGAATTGCTTGCCCCCCATCTATCCTCAGAGTTCGTACTGCTTGGTGACCTAAACTGGGATATGCTTAACACCCTGGCCATCCTACAATCAAAACTAAATGCCCTCAATCTCACAAATTATCATCAAGGAACCTACCAGGTACAACCCTAAATCCATAAACATGGGCACCCTCATAGATATCATCCTGACTAATTTACCCTCTAAATACACCTCCGCTGTCTTCAACCAGGATCTCAGCGATCACTGCCTCATTGCCTGCGTCCGTAATGGGTCCGATGTCAAACAACCACCCCTCATCACTGTCAAACACTCCCTAAAACACTTCAGCGAGCAGGCCTTTCTAATTGACCTGGCCCGGGTATCCTGGATGGATATTGACCTCATTCCGTCAGTAGAGGATGCCTGGATGTTCTTCAAAAGTACTTTCCTCTCCATCTTAAATAAGCATGCCCCATTCAAACAATTCAGAACTAAGAACAGATATAGCCCCTGGTTCACCCCAGACTTGACTGCCCTTGACCAGCACAAAAACATCCTGTGGCGTACTGCATTAGCATCGAACAGCCCCCGCGATATGCAGCTTTTCAGGGAAGTCAGGAAACAATATACACAATCAGTTAAATGTGCATCCTGTGGCACTAACTCAAAAAAGTTTTGGGACACTAAAGTCCATGGAGAATAAGAGCACCTCCTCCCAGCTACCCACTGCACTGAGGCTTGGAAACACTGTCACCACCGATAAATCGACGACAATCGAGAATTTCAATAAGCATTTTGCTATGGCTGGCCATGCTTTCCACCTGGCTACCCCTACCCCGGCCACCAGCTCTGCACCCTCCACTGCAACTTGCCCATGCCCCCCCCCCCCGCTTCTCCTTCACCCAAATTCAGATAGCTGATGTCCTGAAAGAGCTGCTAAATCTGGACCCCTACAAATCAGATGGGCTAGACAATCTGGACCCTTTCTTTCTAAAATTAGCAGCCGAAATTGTTGCAACCCCTATTACTAGCCTGTTCAACCTCTCTTTCGTATCGTCTGAGATCCCCAGAGATTGGAAAGCTGCCGCGGTCATCCCCCTCTTCAAAGGGGGTGACACTCTAGATCCAAACTGTTACAGACCTATAGCCATCCTGCCCTGCCTTTCGAAAGTATTTGAAAGCCATGTTAACAAACAGATCACCGACCATTTCGAATCCCACCGTACCTTCTCTGCTATGCAATCTGGTTTCCGAGCTGGTCATGGGTGCACCTCAGCCACGCTCAAGGTCCTAAACGATATAATAACCGCGATCGATTAAAGACAGTACTGTGCAGCCGTCTTCATCGACCTGGCCAAGGATTTTGACTCTGTCAATCACGCATTCTTATTGGCAGACTAAATATCCTTGGTTGCTCAAATGACTGCCTCGCCTGGTTCACCAACTACTTCTCAGATAGAGTTCAATGTGTCAAATCGGAGGGCCTGTTGTCTGGACCTCTGGCAGCCTCTATGGGGGTGCCACAGGGTTAAATTCTCGGGCCGACTCTATTCTCTGTGTATATCAATGATGTCGCTCTTGCTGCTGGTGACTCTCAGATCCACCTCTACGCAGACGACACCATTTTGTATACATCTGGTCCTTCATTGGGCACTGTGTTAACAAACCTCCAAACGAGCTTCAATGCCATACAACACTACTTCCGTGGCCTCCAACTGCTCTTAAACGCTAGTAAAACTAAATGCATGCTCTTCAATCGAACGCTGCTTGCACCCGCCCGCCCGACTAGAATCACTACTCTCGGCGGGTCTGACTTAGAATATGTGGACAACTACAAATACCTAGGTGTTTGGTTAGACCGTAAACTCTCCTTCCAGACTCACATTAAGCATCTCCAATCCAAAGTTAAATCTAGAATCGGCTTCCTATTTCGCAACAAAGCCTCCTTCACGCATGCTGCTAAACATGCCCTCGTAAAACTGACTATCCTACCGATCCTTGACTTTGGCGATGTCATTTACAAAATAGCTTCCAACACTCTACTCAGCAAATTGGATGTAGTCGATCACAGTGCCATCCATTTTGTCACCAAAGCCCCATATACTACCCACCATTGTGACCTGTACGCTCTCGTTGGCTGGCCCTCACTACATATTCGTCGCCAAACCCACTGGCTCCAGGTCATCTATAAATCACTTCTAGGCAAATCCCCGCCTTATCTTAGATCATTGGTCACCATAGCAACACCCACCCATAGTATGCGTTCCAGCAGGTATATCTCACTGGTCATCCCCAAAGCCAACACCTCCTTTGGCCCCCATTCCTTCCAGTTCTCTGCTGCAAATGACTGGAACGAACTGCAAAAATCTCTGAAGCTGGAGACACTTATCTCCCTCACTAACTTTAAGCATCAGTTGTCACAGCATCTTACCAATCACTTAATACTAAATTGTAATTATTTTGCACTATGGCCTATTTATTGCCTTACCTCCAGAACTTACTACATTTGCACACACTGTACGTTTTGTTTATTCCATATGTAACTCTGTGTTGTTGTTTTTATCGCACTGCTTTGCTTTATCTTGGCCAGGTCGCAGTTGTAAATGAGAACTTGTTCTCAACTGGCTTACCTGGTTAAATAAAGGTTAAATAATAAAATACAAATAAAAAATAAGCTGTTTTTAATTCACAAGATAATATTACAATATGAATTCATAAGAAGCTAAAAGTAGGACAGGTGGTTTTGTTTGGCAAATCTAGTAGGCTGCTTTGCTTGTGAAAAAATAGGAGTCCATATTCCCTTAAATTTCAGCATTGGCAAATAGCCTAGTACTGTAGTCTCATTTCATGGTGAATGAACTGGGCTACTCCAATAAATCATATACTTCCAGGTTGTTAAACTCCAGGTTGCGACATTTCTGACAGGTAAGACGTAAGTTGTCCATTTGAAAACAGGTAAAACCGGATACGATTTTAAAAAGAAGTAAAATAAAAAAGGAACAGTATGACTTTGTATAAGCAGTACAACTTTACTTTAAACCGTAGTTATTTCGTTTACGTTTTAAGACACCAGCTTACCTAATATTTCTTTTCTTCGTGAAGTATGAGGCTGATCATTGTAGACCCATTCAAAGTCTCCCCGTTCACCTGTCTTTCCCATTTCGATGCTCTTCAAGCCCGCGGGAGCGCAGCGGCTATGTGTGCCTCACCTACACACACGTCTTTAAAAACACACCCTATCAAAGGTAAAGGTGAAAGGTGTGTGACCAAAAAAGCTCCTCCCTAGCCGATAGTAATTCCTGCGTTTGTCAAGTTTAAATACACTTTTAACTGAGGTGATCGAATTCAGCAGGCAATATTAATGTAGTCTGTATTCATAAGCCAAAACACAGAACAGCAAGAATTGATAAAAAAAATACAAGCATAGGCTATGAGGAAAAGTCAACGTTATATTAACTACCCATGTTTAGTTCGCAGTGTTTAAAAGGGGTTCCACAGTGAAAACCTTCCATATCAATGATAGCCTGTGACATTAGGCTAATAGATTTTATTTATTTTTTAACTCCTTCAATTATAGATATAACAGAATATTGTTGCATAATTTAGACTTTGTAAATTAATCTCAACAAGATGCATGAGTTGATTATACACATTGATCTGAATACATTTTCACGAATCCTTTATTGCACAAACAAACACATTAACAACCCAATACATTTACATTGTCGATATTGTGACAATAAATTAAACTATATTAAATGTCAATTTGTTTGTGCATATGATACATATGATGCATAGTGGGTAAATGTTGAATGACTAGGTCCAAAAGGCTTCTCAACAGCTTCTACTCCCAAGCCATAAGACTCCTGAACAGCTAATCATGGCTACCCGGACTATTTGCACTTACTTAACTGCATTGTTGGTTAAGGGCTGTAAGTAAGCGTTTCACTGTAATGTCTACACCTGTTGTATTCGGCGCATGTGGCAAATACAATTTGATTTGACTGATCTACAAATAATGGTAGTTATTTATGATGCAAGGTGATTGTAGATCAGTCAGTCGGCAGTCACCTCGCTGATCATCCGCAATGTCGAACAAGCCCAATGGCTGTAAATGGGCGCGCTCCTATGCCCAGGAGTTGCTGATGCCTGCCAGATCTTACAACGCCTGGATAGGTATTTTAAGTATCAGCTAACCACATATGTTATAGCAATCTGTCAATCGATTACGTCGCACGCAACCATTGGTTAATGACGCATACAACGTCTGAGCACGGGAACCTAACCTAATGCAGCGTTCACTTCATGTCAGAAACTCGGGACCTCCGAGTTCAAATGAACGTAAGATATTTGCGTAGTGCTTCATATTGGTTGATTCTGGTGCCTCCCAATTGGAAACTCGAGATCTGATACTTCCTCATAGGTTAGCCAGTGGGAAATTCCGAGTTTTCGACATGACATGAATGCAGCATAAGTCTGTAACCCATGAAGTCTCGCGAGACTATGTAGCTAAAGCGTAGTGGCGACGGGAGTAGAACAGAGTGGAGTTTGTTGTCGAAGAAGGAGGAAGGCAGTGTAGAGGGGAGGAAGGCAGTGTGGAGGGGGGGAACTGCTATTGAAAACATAACTGTGAGGAATTTAGGGGTTTTCAACATGGCCTCAGATGATACCCTGTACATCGAAACGGACGGCTCGGAGATGCCAGCCGAAATAGTGGAACTTCATGAAATCGAAGTGGAGACAATCGAGACAACAGTTGTTGGAGAGGACGACGATGAACAGCCTATGATCGCGTTACAGCCCCTCGACTCAGATGATCCACACTCAATGCATCACCAGGAGGTAATATTGGTGCAAACCCGAGAAGAGGTGGTTGGTGAAGATGATTCGGACATGCACGGGGACGATGATTACGAGGACCAAATTCTTATACCTGTCCCAGTCCCTGCCGCCGAAGAGGAATACATCGAACAGACTCTGGTGACTGTCGCTGGGAAGAGCTCGGGGCGGATGAAGAAGGGGGGAAGCGGGAAGAGAAATAAAAAGAGCTACTTGGGTGCACCGGAGTCCAGTGGTAGAAAATGGGAACAGAAACAAGTCCAGATAAAGACTTTGGAAGGAGAGTTTTCGGTGACGATGTGGGCATCGGGTAAGTTTAGAGTTCTGTCGAAATTGTGTTCTTGCAAGCTTGCCACCTGCATTGTTCTCACTGTGCATTCCCTAGAACTAGGCCTCGTACGGACGCTGGCCTCTGGCTAATTTCAGTAGAATTCCGCACTGTTTTTCCAAGTCCGAATTGCATGCACTGTATTCGAAATGTTTTTGTTTTTATGGGAAGCCATGTTTTATGTGTTGATGGGCGCCGCCATGTTCCCCTGGACCAGTATGGCGGACCGAAAAAATGGCGTTGATTTGGCCGGGGAAAGATGGCGGCGGGTGGGAGCGAGCGCGCTGCTGCTGGCCCCGGAGTAGGCCGCTGTGGCGCAGTTCAGCACCGGGCCTCTGCTCGAAGAGCGGGGGGAGGGTAACAACTAGCAAGATGTCACAAGACTGTGTGGATGTGTTACTGCTAGTTAGTTTTCTAATCGTTGGGGAAGAGTTGCAAGAATGGCATCTCAATAGATATTTTAGTCATTACATTTTTAGCAAAGTTTACATTGTTACATTTGAGACCGACAGACCTGAGAAGATTGGCTTTCGTCAGACAGTTAACGTTAGCTAGCTAGCTAATTTGATTAGCCATACTGACTGTAGCCCGACTAAACAACAATTTACGATGGCGTTGAGCGGCGACTAGTCTGGAAATTTAGCGAATAGAAGTGGTATTAAAATGGTTACTACGTTTGTTGACCAGTTATTTAGCTAGTTTAGTAAACTAACCAACTCAACGATTTACGATGGAGTTCAGTAGCAACTAGAGTGGGCGGACCGGAGTTCCGACGTCAAACATAAAAAAAAAATCAAAAACTAGGGCTATTCTCACATTCCATAAAAAAAATAGGGCCCTTCAAATGAAACTACCCAAAATGTGCATTCACTTTCTGTTCAGCTGTGCAGACCTTGTGCTTGAACACAATTAAGCTCCCAGCCTTTATACATTTTCCTGGTGATTGTGCAGCATGGTTGAAAGATTGGTATTCTAATTGACCATTTGGGTCAGACATCACAAAACATATGCCTGTTGATCTGTTTTAACTCTGCTCCTGTGCTCCATCTCAGATGACAAGAAGGACATTGACCATGACACTATGGTGGAGGAGCACGTCATTGGGGATAATTCCCCTCCCGATTACTCAGAGTACATGACAGGGAAGAAGCTCCCGCCCGGGGGCATCCCAGGGATCGACCTGTCAGACCCCAAACAGCTGGCAGAGTTCGCTAGGTGAGTTACAGAGACATGTTCATTTGTCAGTCACTCCAGGATCACATTTTTTGTGTGCAAAATCAACTATTCCCTGCATATAAGCTGGTAGAGCACGGCGCTTGTAACGCCAAGGTAGTGGGTTCGATCCCCGGGACCACCCATACACAAATGTATGCACGCATGACTGTAAGTCGCTTTGGATAAAAGCGTCTGCTAAATGGCATATTATATCATATCATGCGAAGGCTTGCAAATTTGACCAATCACCGCACTATTTCAGCATTAAACAGTCAGATCATCTCAATATTATTGCATAAAACTGTCCCATATGTTTTTGCGCGATATTCACAATAATTATTTTATGAGTGTTTGTCCGCTTGTGCTGTGCACCTTTTCATTTACACCAGAGATCTGTGTATGTCAAGATGCTCACGTCTCCGCCCTAACAATGGGAGTCGTTGTCCCAAAGGCTGGAAGGCAGGCGACAAGCTTAGGTCCAAAATAAGTCCATAGAAACTGGATTATTTTGAATAGATTTTGGCAAGAGTGAAACCTCTCCTTCATCTCTTCCTCTCTGCTACACGCACCAAGCCCCTCCCCCTGCCACTCACAACAACAAAGATGAGAGATCACTTCTTCCTGAGTTTTAACTCGCTATTTGCATTTGAGGTTTGGTCCAACAGAATCGGTCATATGTACACCGAAACACATTGAGACATGTTTTTACTGTAATAGAGGAGAACTTAACTTTTCTAACGATACCCTTATATCTCAACTGCTTAAATTGTGCGCAGAGCAGACGCTACTAAAACGGGAGTTCAATTAACATTGATTCTGGAAAATGTATGCTCAATTTGTCATGCGTGGCATTGGGGTACCACTAGCAGCATTTTAGCCAAAGACTGTTATACTAGCTGTCTAGTATGTGTTTTATAAATGTGCAATAAGCATAAAACACTTATAAGGAATTGACAATTCATTCTCATTCTGAGAATTTATTTCAACATCTGAACAAAGTGGACAGGCTAGCATGCTGTTCAAACAGTTGGGGATGGATAGAAGGGTGTGTTCATAACAATCCAACTGCTCTGCCTTCTTAGCTAGCAAATAGATCCAAGTTGGCTAAACTCGAAATATAAATATTAGCTAGCTACTCACTAGCATGTGGGCTTGAGAGAAGGTTTATGAGTCTTGTGTTCATTTTCTATAGTGCCTGCTACAAGAAGTGAATGTGCATTATGCATGGTTCTGGTGAAATGTGTAACAAAAATGCCATTTTCATAGACCGACTTGAAAGCCAGATAAGTGATTATTGCAAAAAACAGGTTAAACTACTTAGATAAAATAAATTATTAGTGGGTTTTATGGTTGTGGAAGGCTTATATTTAAATATTTTTTTTGTTTTCTGTTGAAAAACATTTCCCGTTGCGTCCCCATGTAGGCCTATGTACTATTAGAACTGTTTCTTGTTGAACTCTCCACAAGTATGGAAAGAAAGTGTTCCCAAATGCGCTTCAGCTCAGCTTGAACAAAACAATTGTTCAGTTGCTCAGCTGAGGCACTTGAACATCCCCCAAAACATTCCTTACTCCAGGACACTTCAATGGGTGACTACCTAGGAAAATAAAGTGAAAGGAGCACTCTGTCTGCTTTGATCTGAGATTTGTTGAGGGGACATACAGACTCACGTTTTGGCAAAGCCTGTTTTGTTTGTTCAATTTATACATAAGTATGTGGACACCCCTTTAAATTAGTGGATTCTAGTTTGTGTGGCCTACCACTTCGCGGCTGAGCCGTTGTGGCTCCTAGGCATTTTCACTTCACAATAACAACATTTAGTTGAGCGGGGGCAGCTCTAGCAGGGCAGAAATTTGACGAACTGACTTGTTAGAAAGGTGGCATCCTATGACGGTGCCACGTTGAAAGTCACTGAGCTCTTCAGTAAGGCCATTCTACTGCCAATGTTTGTCTATGAAGATTGCATGTCTGTGTGCTCAATTTTATACAGTGTATAATATATGCCATTTAGCAGACACTTATCCGAAGCGACTTAGTCATGGGTGGTCCCAGAATCAAACCCACTATTCTGGCGTTGCAAGCGCCATGCTCTGCCAACTGATCTACAGTGGAGCACGATCTGTCATATCTTGCAGGATGAAGCCACGGAAAATAAAGGAGGACGACTCTCCCAGGACGATAGCTTGCCCCCACAAAGTACGTATGCTCTACTAGTCTAACTGGCATTAGAGAGAATGGTAACACAATGGTAACACAGCCACTAGAACACAATGGTAACGCAGCCACTAGAACACAATGGTAACGCAGCCACTAGAACACAATGGTAACGCAGCCACTAGAATACAATGGTAACGCAGTCACTAGAACACAATGGTAACGCAGCCACTAGAATACAATGGTAACGCAGCCACTAGAACACAATGGTAACGCAGTCACTAGAACACAATGGTAACGCAGCCACTAGAACACAATGGTAACGCAGCCACTAGAACACAATGGTAACGCAGCCACTAGAATACAATGGTAACGCAGCCACTAGAACACAATGGTAACGCAGCCACTAGAACACAATGGTAACGCAGCCACTAGAACACAATGGTAACGCAGCCACTAGAACACAATGGTAACGCAGCCACTAGAACACAATGGTAACGCAGCCACTAGAATACAATGGTAACGCAGCCACTAGAACACAATGGTAACGCAGCCACTAGAACACAATGGTAACGCAGCCACTAGTACACAATGGTAAGACTAGAACAGTTGTTTGGGTGAATAATGGTAGTCAATTAGCCGCAATGCTCTGAGGTTGCCTATAGCTTATTAAGTGCTCTGATGTGGACCAATTGGTTTAGTCATTTCTGAAGTTACAAGTGATTTATTGCTACCTTTGCCTCTGCAGGGATGCACTAAAATGTTCAGGGATAACTCTGCGATGAGGAAGCACTTACACACGCACGGACCACGTGTTCACGTCTGCGCCGAATGTGGAAAGGCCTTTGTCGAAAGCTCCAAACTGAAGAGGCATCAACTTGTTCATACCGGAGAGAAGCCTTTCCAAGTATGTTTCCCCCCAACCCCTTTCAAAATGGCTTCATATTGAGAGATGTACTTGTCTAAACAATTAGTTTCACTGTATACATTTAGTTTGAATCACAACACTTCCAGCTTAATGTCTACATGGCACGTACAGTTGGAGTCGGAAGTTTACATGCACTTAGGTTGGAGTCATTAAAATTTGTTTTTCAACCGCTCCACAAATGTCTTGTTAACAAATTATAGTTTTGGCAAGTCGGTTAGGACATCTACTTTGTGCATGACACAAGTAATTTTTCCAACAATTGTTTACAGACAGATTATTTCACTTATTCACTGTATCACAATTCCAGTGGGTCAGAAGTTTATACACTGTTTACTGTGCCTTTAAACAGCTTGGGAAATTCCAGAAAATGATGTCATGGCTTTAGAAGCTTCTGATAGGCTAATTGACATAATTTGAGTCAATTGGAGGTGTACCTGTGGATGTATTTCAAGGCCTACCTTCAAACTCAGTGCCTCTTTGCTTGACATTATGGGAAAATCAAAAGAAATCAGCCAATAATTGTAGACCTCCACAAGTCTGGTTCATCCTTGGGAGCAATTTCCAAACGCCTGAAGGTACCACGTTCATCTGTACAAACAATAGTACGCAAGTATAAACACCATGGGACCACGCAGCCGTCATACCGCTCAGGAAGGAGACGCGTTCTGTCTCCTAGAGATGAACGTACTTTGGTGTGAAAAGTGCAAATCAATCCCAGAACAACAGCAAAGGACCTTGTGAAGATGCTGGAGGAAACAATTCAAAAGTATCTATATCCACAGTAAAACAAGTCATATATCAACATAACCTGAAAAGCTGCTCAGCAAGGAAGAAGCCACTGCTCCAAAACCGGCATCAAAAAGCCAGACTACGGTTTGCAACTGCACATGGGGACAAAGATCGTACTTTTTGGAGAAATGTCCTCTGGTCTGATGAAACAAAAATAGAACTGTTTGGCCATTGTTATGTTTGGAGGAAAAGGGGGGTCGCTTGCAAGCCAAAGAACACCATCCCAACCGTGAAGCACGGGGGTGGCAGCATCATGCTGTGGGGGTGCTTTGCTGCAGGAGGGACTGGTGCACTTCACAAAATAGATGGCATCATGAGAAAGGAAAATCATGAGGATATATTGAAGCAACATCTCAAGACATCAGTCAGGAAGTTAAAGCTTGGTCGCAAATGGGTCTTCCAAATGGACAACGACCCCAAGCATACTTCCAAAGTTGTGGCAAAATGGCTTAAGGACAACAAAGTCAAGGTATTGGAGTGGCCATCACAAAGCCCTGACCTCAATCCTATAGAAAATGTGGACAGAACTGAAGTGTGTGTGAGCAAGGAGGCCTACAAACCTGACTCAGTTACACCAGCTCTGTCAGGAGGAATGGGCCAAAATTCACCCAACTTATTGTGGGAAGCGTGTGGAAGGCTACCCGAAACGTTTGACCCAAGTTAAACAATTTAAAGGCAATGCTACCAAATACTAATTGAGTGTATGTAAACTTCTGACCCACTGGGAATGTGATGAAAGAAATAAAAGCTGAAATAAAATCACTACTATTATTCTGATATTTCACATTCTTAAAATAAGTGGTGATCCTAACTGACCTAAGACATGGAATTTTTACTAGGATTAAATGTCAGGAATTGTGAAAAACTGAGTTTAAAATGTATTTGGCCAAGGTGTATGTAAACTCCAGACTTCAACTGTATCTGCCCAGACACCCATAGGGGCCCAGGTTGTCAACCAGCAATGCAGCCTCGTAATAAAATCTCTCTTTCTTTTAGTGCACATTTGAGGGCTGCGGAAAGCGGTTCTCCCTGGACTTTAACTTACGCACGCATGTGCGGATTCACACTGGAGACCGACCCTACGTCTGTCCATTCGACGGCTGCAACAAGAAGTTTGCCCAATCCACCAACCTCAAGTCTCACATCCTCACACACGCTAAAGCTAAAAACAATCAGTGACTGTGAACCAACCAACCACCGTGAGGATACCCCCCCCAATCATATCTTCACCACGGCAGAAGCGTCACACCCCCTAAGAGCTATGAAATCCCCTTTGTATTGTTTCTAGGAAAATGTTTTGAGAGAATGACCTTACTGACTTTTTGATATGTACAGAGATGATTAGGAACTCTAAAGATGCTTCACTCCCCCCTCCTACCCTTTTATCTTGGCACGATCCTGAAGGAAAAGCATAAAGTTTCTCCTTGGGAAGATGTTAATTTCTTGGACCTGTACCCGAAAAGAAAAAGTTATTTAAAAACTGCAGCACCCAAAGAGAAAGAATCGACATTTAAAGTTAAAAGTTCTTCTCCATCAGCATCTCGAAAGAATAGCTTTTTAATTTTGTACGTTTTTTCTAAGTGTGCATGTTGTACACTTTCTCTGGCTGAGCTGTTTTATGTGTGTTTTCCCAGAGAAATCTGTGATAACTCTTACATGGAGAATTTGCTGTTTATTGTACCTCCCTGCTTTTTCCCCTTGTAAAATGTTTAGTTTTTTTTTGGGGGGGGGGGGGTATTCATTTTGTATAATTGTTACGGACAGATATATTGGAATTGTGTAGATAATAGCAATGTAATTTAAGTAGTGTTAACGGATTAAACAGTTTTATTTTCCCCCCTGCACGGCCAGAGAGCACATCGTGTCATGTCCATCAAATCCTTTGTTTAGTTGAACACACAATACAACCAGAAGTGGTGCTCAGTTGCATCATTAGAATGTATTGTACAGGCAGCATTAACTTTTGCTAAAATGTACCTTCCCAATAAGTTGCCAATACAAACCTGCCCATTAGCAAGCACTTATTAGAATTTTGTTTCAGAATTCCTATTTTATGTAGTGTTAAGTTGTAATTGATTAAAGTCATTTTGAATGTGACATTTACCCATTGGTAGAGACTGTTCCAAATTGGTACCAACATTTTAATAAAATGGTTGACAGGAACTTGTAAAATGTTGTACCATGTAAAAAATATATGACCGGTATTTTCAGTAAATGGTCCGTGTGGATTTTTGCTCTTTAGTCCGATGTCCATCCCTTTGTGCTTGGTCATGTCATTCTTTAGTTTAATTTCAGTTCTGTACAGCAGATATGGAAATAAAATTTACATTACATTTACATTTTAGTCATTTAGCAGACGCTCTTATCCAGAGCGACTCACCAGTACATAGTTAATTTCCTAAAGACCAATAATCAAATTCAAGTTAATACGCACTGACAGGAAGAGTGGACCCTATATTTCAAAATAAAAATCTATTCAATGTTTACAATCAATGCACTTTTTTTTTTTTCTCCCAGTGTTCAACACATTTCCCTAAAATGTATTAAAGAAAAAACAAGTGCAGAATCAATTTACTCAATGAGCGCATCAAGACTCATCGTTACGTATTTGGTATAGTCTGTCCTTAAAACAACCTGAGACATTTTTGTTGTCCGGTGACATTTACAATGGGAGAAAGGAGACTTTGCTTGCACCATATCAGCAGGCAGGTGTGTATTCAGAAGTTTAAACGTTGCAGATAGAAATGTAGCTAATAGAGCTGACACTTTCTATCTGAACATTGTTCCATTTGTCTAAACAGAACCCCCCCCCCCCAGGTGTTCTTTTCTCCACCAGCAGGGTAGTTAGGCGTTACCCATCTGGTGACTGGGTGTCGCGCAGAAACACTTCCCCTGGACCTGCTCACTCCAAGTATGGGTAACTGCATACTTGGCATGTGTCTGAAAGTGGGCGTATCAAAAGAAGTGGTTGGATCAACAGCGATAGGTGTAACACCAGTGCTCCATTACTGGTTAGATCGGCGATAGCCAGGTGCAACCGGGTCAGCTTAATGTTTAACATAGCAGGTTAGGAGAACAAGGTTAAGGTTAGAAAAAGGGTTAGACTTAGCAAAAATGCTACAGTTGTCAACAATCGACTCGTCGTGCAGCCCAATCAGCCATGCAAAACGGTCTTGAATGGCAACAAATTTGCCCAATTAGCAGATTCGCTTTCCATACACCCACTTCTGTTGACACGCCTACTTTCAGACACTCCATGTATGCAGTATCGATGACTCGCTCAGGTGACAAACCATCAAATCAGATTTTATTCGTCACAACGTTCGTAAACAACAGGTGTAGACTAACAGGGAAATGCTTACTGACAGGCCCTTACCCACAATGCAGAGAGAAAGAATAGAAAATGAATAACAAGGAATGAATACACAATGAGTAATGATAACTTGCCTATATACACAGGGTACCAGTACTGAGTAGATGTGCAGGGGTAGGAGGTAATTGAGGTAGTTATGTACATATGGGTAAGAATAAAGTGACTAGGCAAAAGGATAGATAAACAGTAACAGCAGCGTATGTGATGAGTCAAGAGTTACTGCAAAAGGTGTCAATGCAGATAGAGAGAGGGTGGCTGGAGTTTGACAATTTTTAGGGCATTTCTCTGACACCGCCTGGTAGAGGTCCTGGATGGCTGGGAGCTCGGCCCCAGTGATGTATTGGGCCGTACGCACTACCCTCTGTAGCGCCTTGCGGTCGGATGCCAAGCAGTTGCCATACCAGGCGGTGAAGTAACCAGTCAAGATGCTCTCAATGGTGCAGATGTAGAACTTTTTGAGGATCTGAGGACCCATGCCAAATCTTTTCAGCCTCCTTATGGGGAAGAGGCGTTGTCATGCCCTCTTCACGACTGTGTTGGTGTGTGTGGACCATGATAATTTCTTAGTGATGTGGACACAGAGGAACTTGAAGTTCTCGACCTGCTCAACTACAGCCCCGTCGATGTGGATGGGGGCGTGCTCGGCCCGCTCTTTCCTGTAGTACACGATCAGCTCCATTGTCTTGCTGACGTTGAGGGAGAGGTTTTTGTCCCGGCACAACACTGCCAGATCTCACCTCCTACCTGTAGGCAGTCTCATTGTCATCAGTGATCAGCCCTACCACTGACGTGTCGTCTGCAAAAGTAATGGTGTTGGAGTCGTGCATGGCCATGCAGTCGTGGGTGAACACGGAGTACAGAAGGGGATTAAGCATGCACCACTGAGGGGCCCCCGTGTAGACGGTCAGTGTGGTGGATGTGTTGTTGCCTACCCTCACCTCTTGGGGGTGGCACGTCAAGAAGACCAGGATCCAGTTTCAAAGGGAGGTGTTCAGTCCCAGGGTCCTTAGCTTAGTGATGAGCTTGGATGGCACTATGGTGTTGAACACTGAGCTGTAGTCAATGAACAGCATTCTCACTCACGTAGGTGTTCCTTTTGTCCAGATGGGAAAGGGCAGTGAGGAGTACAATACAGATTGCGTCATCTGTGGATCTGTTGGGGCGGTATGTGAATTGGAGTGGGTCCAGGGTGTCTGGGATGATGGTGTTGATGTGAGCCATAACCAGTCTTTCAAAGCATTTCATGGCTACAGATGTATGTGCTACGGGGCGATAGTCATTTAGACAGGTTACCTTGGCGTTCCTGGGCACAGGGACTATGGTCGTCTGGAACAGCTGTTGCTCTCATGCATGGTTCAGTGTTGCAAGCCTCGACGCGAGCATAGAAGGTATTTAGCTCATCTGGTAGGCTTGCGTCACTGGACAGTTCGCGGCTGGGTTTCCCTTTGTAATCTGTGATAGTTTCCAAGCCCTGCCACATTCGACGAGCGTCAGAACCAGTGTAGTAGGATTCGATCTTGGGCCTGTATTGACGCTTTGCCTTTTTGATAGTTTGTCTGAGGGCATAGAGGGATTTCTTATAAGAGTCCGGATTAGTGTCCTGCTCCTTGAAAGCGGCAGCTCTAGCCTTTAGCTCAGTGCGGATGTTGCCTGAAAACCATGGCTTCTGGTTGGGATATGTACGTACAGTCACTGTGGGGACGACGTCATCGATGCACTTATTAATGAAGCAAGTGACTGATGTGGTAAACTCCTCAATGCCATCGGATGAATCCCAGAACATATTCCAGTCTGTGCTAGCAAAACAGTCCTGTAGAGTAGCATCCACTTCATCAGACCACTTCTGATTCCTGCTTACAAGCAAAAACTCACAGGAAGTACCAGGGACGCACTCAATACAGGAGGATAGCCTTTTTGAAATGTATTATTTTTTATAACCTTTTACCCCTTTTTCGTGTCATGGCCGGCTGCGACACAGCCCGGGATCGAACCCAGGCCTTAGGCCGCTACGCCACTCGGGAGGCAGGATAGGTCAGATTTGCCAAATGGATGGCGAGGGAGAGCTTTGTATGCTCTGTGTGTGGAGTAAAGGTGATCTAGTTTTTTCGTCTCTAGTTGCACAGGTGTCATGCCGTTAGAATTGAGGTAAAACAGTTTTCAGTTTTCCTGCATTAAAGTCACTGGCCACTAGGAGCGCCGCCTATGGGTGAGCATTTTCTTGTTTGCTTATGGCCCTATACAGCTCGTTGTGTGGTCTTAGTGCCAGCATCGGTTTGTGGTGGTAAATAGACAGCCATGAAAAATATATATCAAAACTCTCTTGGTAAATAGTACCTACAGCTTCTCATGAGGCATTCTAACAGGCGAGCAGAACCTCGAGACTTCCTTAATATTCGAGATCACGCACCAGTTGTTGTTGACAGAGACACACCACCTCCCCTGAGCTTCCCGACGCCACCGTTCTGTCTTGCCGATGTATAGAAAAAAACAGCTAAATGTATATTTCCCGTCCTTGTTCAGCCATGACTCAGAGAAACATAGGAAATTACAGTTCAGATTACGTTGATAATATAGTCTCGAACGGAGCTCATCCAGTTTATTCTCCAGTGATTGCACATTCACCAATAGAACGGAGGATAGAGGCAATTTATCCACTCACCACGGCTTCAGTTTACTCAGTTAAACATGGTGCAGTGTTAATGTTTCATAGGCCTGCCTGACTCATATGATTCTACACACACACGTTACCAGAGTAACAAATGACATCACCACAGACACCAAGGCCACCTCACCTCTTACAACATCCACACCTGCTTGGGTTTACACTATTCAAGTAGTCTAGATAGGGTTGCAAAGGGTGGGTATATTACTGGAAACGTTCAAAGTAAACTTTTTGGGGGAGTAATTTACAACAAGATGGCGCCAACCGATACGGTCACCCTATTTCTAGCTCCTTTGATTTGAATTTTGTAACGTGGCCTTTTGGGTGTACTTCAGATTATCACGTGTCTAATTTTCCACTAGATAGCAAAGCCACAAAGTCAAAATTGGATTTATCGTAAAAATGCATTAACTAAAATGAGCTTTTTGGTCTGAATTTAAGGTTAGCAGTGTGGTTAAGTTCAGGTTTAGAATCAGATTTTAAGAAGATCAATAGTAGAAATAGGCAGGCTTTATGACTGTGGTAACTAGTGACGACCCTCTGTGTGGCCTTATCACATTTAAACTATATCAAATAATCAAATAAGATGATAAAAAAAATTTAAAAATAAATTGAATGACAAAGCTGTAAAACATTATCTTAAATATAAACCATCAACTTAGTGAATACCATGTATATTATTTTGTTACACATTTGTTTTACTATGTCAATATGACTTTGTTGTAACTGTTTTGACGCCAAACTGGTTGGGGTTGTGAAAAAAGTAAATAGTTGGAAGAGTTACAGTTAAATTGAAAATAATGAAATATGGTCTATCCTCTAGAAACTTTAGAGAATATGGACACAGATATAAAAAGAATACTATATATGAATAGATTTGTAAAAGTATAAATTACCGGACACCGTCCTTCAGGAACTCAGTGGTGATGCGCATCATGTAGGTGGCTGTCCTCGTCGTCCTTGTAGCTGATGGTGTGGACCCACGGGATGTCCATCATGTTGCTGAGCATCCACTGGAGGAAGCGCTCCTGGGACGCGTGGCGACCTGAGAAGTCATTATCAAAGCCATAGAGCTAGATACAGATATATCTTTGACATGGTCTTCTCTACTGTATTCATCTCTATGATCAAATAAATATCGTACAATTTGTTCCAATATCCACACTAGCGTAGTACTTACAAATGCATTCTAAGTGGTATGTTAGTAGCCAAAGATGAACCGGTGGTAGTATATACTGTAGCACTGGTATTAGGTACCTCACTCACTAGCTTTGTGGCTGCTTCGAGCTGCTGTTTTTAAGAAAAGGTTTTAGCCTACTTACGATGATGATATGTGGTCGTCTCCCCTACCTTAGTTTAATGCACTTACAAGTCGTGTCTGCCAAATTATTAACATGCAAAAAGCCTTTTTGTGACAGGCTACATACACACTCTGGTTTGTCATTGTCAGACCGCGCTTCTTAACACCCACCCACTTAACCCGGAAACACCGTTCAACTGACGACCGATGTCACCCTGCAGGCGCCCGGCCCGCCACAAGGGGTCGCTAGATCGCGATAAGCCAAGTAAATTAATTCTGAAACTCAAGCATTACAGAACACCAGACGGTTTTTTTTTTATCTTTGCCTGTACTCTGTGAAAAAGTATATGGAAACAACCACCATGAACAAAATTGTCGTCTTAACATTTATTGTAAAAAGGCTCTGCATTCAGGGGGCACAATATATAAACAAAACATTTTAAACCCATTTTAAAACAACAGCCGTGGGGATTGAATCACAGAACCTAATTGACAATTACACAGTGTGTATAGATATAAAAATATTGACAATGTTACAGCATTTCATTTCCTGTTTTAAAACGTAATCATCCAAACAGGGTGTATAAGTACAAACCATAGCTAAATGTTTTGCAACAAAAACTAGCGTTTCTTATTAGACAAACTCAGATATGTCCCTCCCCTTTTCGGCCTGCTTGGAGTAAAGAGACCCATAAATCTGCAGCTCAGTCATCATCCATAAAATAATAGTCCTCTTCTTCCCCACTTTCCACTGAATGGTCCTCCTTGTCAGGGAACATTTCCCACACCACAAAAGAAGAATCATTCTCTGCTGAAACACAAGTAAACATATTATTGAGTGAATAAGGTTTCCAAATTCTCAAGTTCTGCAAGTGTAAAATACATCAATACAAAATCTTCATTCAAAAAAAAGAACACTGACCGGTGTTGCATCTCTTCAAAACACGTTTGGCTGATGGCGTTGGCGTGTACTAGATGGAAAATGCAGAAAAACATTTAATAACATTCTGTACATACCAGTGGAGGCTGCTGAGGGGAGGACGGCTCATAATAATGGCTGGAACGGAGCGAATTGAATGGCCTCAAACGCATGGAAACCATGGAAACCATGTGTTTGATACCATTCCGCTCCAGCCATGACCACGAGCCCATCCTCCCTAATTAAGGTACCACCAACCCCCTGTGGTATATACATCCTGTTTAAACAATAATAATTATATTGGCATATTCATATGACAAAACAATAAAACAGTGAACGACTTTAAAAAGATCTCCCCTCCTGACTATCACATTTTCCCCAGAGCACTGCACTAGACAGTTGTTCCTGGCATCCTTTACATTTTTTTGTCATTTAGCAGACGCTCTTATCCAGAGCGACTTACAGTTAGTGAGTGCATACATTATTCTTTTTTTCATACTGGCCCCCCCCACGTGGGAATCGAACCCACAACCCTGGCGTTGCAAACGCCATGCTCTACCAATTGAGCTACATCCTACGAGACGAGTTCATTTTCACAATGGCCCCAGACACACTGTATATATGACTGAGCCCTCCTTTTGTCGATAAGCTCCTCAGGAACAGCCTACCTTTGAAGCGGCCCCCAATTTATGCAGCTTCGCTTGGCCTTTCTTCATTCTTTTTTGAAGTTGGTAGATATACTTGTCATCGTTGTCTCTGAAAATGTTTATGAAAAGTTTCTGATTTTACAATGGTGTGAGAAAACCCAACATATTTACCGGTAGTACCACCTGTCTTGTAATAACAGTCTACTATGAGTGACTGATTTAAAAAAACAAACAAATATGTCAATGAGTACGTTTACAAGCACACTAATAATTTAATATTAAACTGATTATAGCAGAAGGCCAAGTATGGCATCAGTCATGTAAACATCTTACTCTGCTTACCTTACTGTGCTTACCTTACTCTGCTTACCTTACTCGGCGTAAGGTCATAATCGAAGTAAGCATATGCAGATTAAAACACCTGGTTTTCTGAGCAACCTTTCCAACTATTAGGACATGACCTTTCCAACTATTAGGACATAACCTTTCCAACTATTAGGACATAACCTTTCCAACTATTAGGACATGACCTTTCCAACTATTAGGACATAACCTTTCCAACTATTAGGACATAACCTTTCCAACTATTAGGACATGACCTTTCCAACTATTAGGACATAACCTTTCCAACTATTAGGACATAACCTTTCCAACTATTAGGACATAACCTTTCCAACTATTAGGACATAACCTTTCCAACTATTAGGACATAACCTTTCCAACTATTAGGACATAACCTTTCCAACTATTAGGACATAACCTTTCCAACTATTAGGACATAAACAGCTTAATCGCCGTTCCAGCAGTGTATTTGATCTGTATATGTGCTAGCACCGGTACCTTCCTAATATGGAGTTACACCTTCCTAATAGGGAGTTACACCTTCCTAATAGGGAGTTACACCTTCCTAATAGGGAGTTACACCTTCCTAATAGGGAGTTACACCTTCCTAATAGGGAGTTACACCTTCCTAATAGGGAGTTACACCTTCCTAATATGGAGTTACACCTTCCTAATATGGAGTTACACCTTCCTAATATGGAGTTACACCTTCCTAATATGGAGTTACACCTTCCTAATATGGAGTTACACCTTCCTAATATTGAGTTGCGCATGTAAACGTTTAAACCAACTATAATATTAATCTGACTATCCACAATAATCATATTGTTGTGCATGTAACCGTGCTCAATGAACATAACAGCGCACATTACAAATGAAATGCAGTATTCAAATCGCTCATTACTATAAGCAGTGATTGGGTTAACCTTTCCTTTCAGAATATATGCCATTTTAGCAGACGCTTTTATCCAAAGCAACTTAGTCATGCATGCATCTTACGTACGGGTGGTCCCGGGAATCGAACCCACTATCCTGGCATTGCAAGCGCCACGCTCTACCAACTGAGCTATAGAGCACCACCATGTCAGTGGGATAGTTGCATTTACCTGTTCACCGAGCCCATCATGCCTGGGGTGATGTGGAGACACTGAGGAGTTTTCACCGATGGGAAGCGTGATGAGCTGGGGGTTTGTGGGTCTTGCTCAGAGCGCATGAACACATCCTCTTTCCCTTTGGGAGACACTGTGGGCAACTGATTCACAAGAGAGCACATTCAGTTCGGGGCACCCCATTCAGTTCAGGGCCATCCCCATTCAGTTCAGGGCACCCCATTCAGTTCAGGGCACCCCATTCAGTTCAGGGCACCCCATTCAGTTCGGGCACCCCATTCAGTTCGGGCACCCCATTCAGTTCGGGGCACCCCATTCAGTTCGGGGCACCCCATTCAGTTCGGGGCACCCCATTCAGTTCGGGGCACCCCATTCAGTTCGGGGCACCCCATTCAGTTCGGGGCACCCCATTTCTGATTGCTACAAGATTGTTGTTAAGCGGTCAGCCATCTTGAAATATCAATTTGGTACCCAAGCTTTTAGACATGGGAGAGAAGCAATCTATCAGCTGTTGTTAAATATACATTTTGCACATGTGAGCAACATGACAATCTATCTCTATATGTTTAACGACACAGCTGTCGGAAGAATACAAAACTGCAGTGTGCGGAGACTTCTTTGAATTTTGCTGAATGTATTCTTTGACCTGTATTCTTTGACCTCCAGCACCACATAATGTACATATATGAAGAAAAAAAAAAATGCAATATTGTTCCTAAAGAAACTCAAACCCGGCAACATTGCTGAGTGGTTGAAACGGCGCAGCCCGGGGGGAAACGCACCTTGACCCGCTTGTTCTGCATGGGCGAGCTGTTGAAGATGTCATCGTGGTCATCCTTGGGCATGTGTTCCAGGAGGTTCCGCACCTGCTGCTTCCGCTTCAGTGTGCCCTTTTTCGCGGTTATCCGAGGCGGTTCCACCACTACAGTTCAAATATAATATATTACATTGTCACAGCGGGGACTGGGAAGCAACACAAACATAGGCACAGACGCATGCATACAAATATACGCACTACACACACACACACACACACACACACACACGTACACACGGATTTTGTGTTGTAGATATGTGGTAGTGGAGTACGGGCCTGAGGGCACACACTTAATGGGTTGTGATTTCTGTAATGAATGTATTGTAATGTTATAACTGCCTTAATTATGCTGGACCACAGGAAGAGTAGCTGATGGGGATCCATAATAAATACAAATACATACATTCTCTGTAATTCTTATTGAATGTACAGATTGTATAGATGTGACCCCCCCCCACAAAAAAAAAGAAAGTTCACCATTTAAAAATGCATGTGTAAATCAGTGAGAGCCCAACGTGTTCTGTCATCGAGTTCTATTAAAAGACCAAAGATGCGGTACCACAATGGTAACAGCCACGAACACTTCGTTAGAGCTTGGATGGGAGACCTACACTAAGACATCAAGATCCCTCTACAGATTTATTATGGATAGAAATGCTAGACAAGGTAACTTACATGGATCCCTCTTGTGCAGAACATCTCTTTTCTTGGTGGCCTTGGTAGGTGGCAGGGAGGTGGGGGCCTGACCGTTGTACCGCTTCTGACACTCCTCAGCTGAACGGCTGCCCACCACCATGGCAACGTTCACCCAGAAGTCATTTGTGTGTTTGGGAAGTGACGTCACAGCCCTGAAAGCCAAACGTACGCACAAGAAGTTGACATACACTCGTGTTTCTGTATAAACAAGGCAATTTGCACACATTTAAACGTGCTAGCTAATTTGAAACTTTTCTTCAACATTGTGCATTATAAAAAAGGAGGCTATTGTTTAACCAGAGTTGAGTAAACCGAGTGATGCATGTGACGCACGCAATGCATTGGATAACATACTTTCTCATCTACTTCAAATATTATGGTTATTTGGCTGCTCACTGCCATTTGCTTGTACAAAATGCCAATATGTAGACAATTGTAGCAAACTTACTCATGTAGTCTCAACAGTTGTGTCTCTGTCCACTGATCTCCATTTCCTTCGTTTTCTCTCTGCTGAACCCTGAGGAATTTGCTGCCCTTTCCCCTCAGTGTCTGCGGGCCGGCCCTTTTACTCAATTCACTCTTCCAGTCTTCCTGGGAAGTCGACGAATCACTCGATGCTGCCTTGGAGTCTTCCGGAACCCTTCCACGTGTCCTCTTACCCCGTGGCTTTATGGGTCCCGATTTGAATGCCTTGGGTTTTTTCTTCTGTGTGAAGTCGTCATCGGACTGGGACTCTCCGGCAGTACCGCGACCACCGTCCTGAACGTTCCTACTCCTACCCACGGAGGCTGAAACGGTCTTTGTGGGCGCAGGTTTCCCTGTGTCTTTCCTTTCCATCACGATGTCATCCCAGAGTTTCGCTGGGAGCTTCTTCTGAGGACTGACCCTATTCTTTGACATATCAAGCACTCTCGGAGGGCCTACTTTTTTTGAACCCTTGACTCGTTTCCCTGGTAACAGCTCTGAGGATGTATTGGCGTTGTCCGAGTTGTCATCGGCGCTCTGTTTGTTAGCGCCCTGGCGAGAGCGACGTGGACGGGTCGGGAATTGTGGGGCAGGGTCTGCGTACGCGGCCGGCGCTGCTGCACCCTGAAACATTGGGCTGGTCTTCCTGGGCCGTCCCCGGTGCTTGGGAGAGAGGATCACATCAGACTTGGACCTCTGAGATGCTGGGCTCACCCTCTTGGGTCTTCCTCTGCCCCTGTGAGAGGGGTTCTCTGGCATAGACCACTGAGAGTTTGGACTGGCTTTCTTGGGTCTTCCTCTGCCCCTGTGAGAGGAGTTCTCCAAAGACATGGACCTGTGAGGCTCTGGGCTGGCCTTCTTGGGCCTTTCGGGGCCCCTGGAAAGGGCGTTGTCTTCAGCCTTACACCGCCAAGACTCAGGGGCCGTGTGAGGGGGGTTCTCCTCTGGCTTCGACCTCAGAGGCCTGTGATGAGCCTTCACCTTTCTCAGTGGCACAGTCTCCTCGTCACTGGTGTCACCTCGCAGCCTCTCTGTAGAACATCACACTGTCAAATACAATGTAGTCCCCATCTTTGTTGCAGCTGGAATATGAGGATAAATGCATTCCCAAGCTTATGTATAGAAAAACAACATACCTTCCGCTGGAGGTAAGAACACCTTGGCCGGTTTTGGTGGTCCGTCTAACAATGCTCTGGCTACAGGTGTACTGACTTGCTGAGAAAGTAGGGAAATAGCATATCAATTAATTATTTGACCAGGTAAGTTGACTGAGAACACATTCTCATTTACAGCAACGACCTGGGGAATAGTTACAGGGGAGAGGAGAGGGGATGAATGAGCCAATTGGAAGCTGGGGATGATTAGGAGGCCATGATGGTATGAGGGCCAGATTGGGAATTTAGCCAGGACACCTACGTTAACACCCCTACTCTTACAACAAGTGCCATGGGATCTTTAGTGACCACAGAGAGTCAGGACACCTGTTTAACGTCCCATCCAAAAGACGGCATCCTGCACAGGGCATTGTCCCCAATCACTGCCCTGGGGCATTGTCCCCAATCACTGCCCTGGGGCAATGGGATATTATTATTATACCAGAGGAAAGAGTGCCTCCTACAGGCCCTCATCCAGGGACCGACCAGGACCAACCCTGCTTAGCTTCAGAGGCAAGGCAGCAGTGGGATGCAGGGTGGTCTGGTCTCCCATCCAGGGACCAACCAGGACCAACCCTGCTTAGCTTCAGAGGCAAGGCAGCAGTGGGATGCAGGGTGGTCTGGTCTCCCATCCAGGGACCGACCAGGACCAACCCTGCTTAGCTTCAGAGGCAAGGCAGCAGTGGGATGCAGGGTGGTCTGGTCTCCCATCCAGGGACCAACCAGGACCAACCCTGCTTAGCTTCAGAGGCAAGGCAGCAGTGGGATGCAGGGTGGTCTGGTCTCCCATCCAGGGACCAACCAGGACCAACCCTGCTTAGCTTCAGAGGCAAGGCAGCAGTGGGATGCAGGGTGGTCTGCTGCTGGTATCACTCTACAACATTGTGTCCCAAACCTCTGATTTCGCCCAGCCGTTCCGCTTGTTGGATGTATTCCACAACTAGAACACCTGATTCAACTAACGAAGGGCTTGGTGATTAGTGGATTCAGTTGTGTTAGAACAGCAATACATGAAATAAGTGGAATGGCTGGGGATACAGTGCTCTACAATAGAAAACTAAACGAAGCAGAGCACCACGGAGCAGCAGCTTACAGAGTAAAGCATAGACGACTGGTCATAACCCCCATGAATGGTGACGTTCATGTCGCAATCCAAGATGACTCTGGCCCCTTTCCAGTACTCCAGAGGGGCTTTGAGAAGCCGGCCACTCCGGGAAACCTTAGCACTGCTCACCGCACTGGTGGCACTGCAAGGAGCAGCTGTAGGACAAGGTAGATTAAACATAAAACAGGATGGTTATCGCTACCTTTACAGAGAAATACCAACCAATCAAATCTTTGATAAAACAAGAGACATGAGTACTACCAGTATAAATACAGTGAGCATTTGTGATGCCAACTTTTGGACTCACGTGTCTTCGTGGCGTTTGGCATTTGGGATGTGGAAGACTGCTTCTTGGTGGAGAGGTGTTTTTGGTTCTGGGGTGTTGCCAGGTCCTTACTCCCCTTTTTAGAATTTTCAGCTTCTGAACTGCATTTGTCATTAAAAACAATTGAAGACAAAGCAGAAACACTGGATGTTAACACAACAGATATGACTACAACACTTAGTTAAAGCCGAGTAGCCGAACAGAGAATAGGAGTTTTCAAATCAAATTGTATTTGTCACATGCACCGAATACAACTGCTGTAGACCTTACCATGAAATGCTTACTTACGAGCCCTTAACCAACAATGTAGAGTTTTTTTAAAAAGTTCAAAACATTTGCTAAATAAAACTAATGGAAAAACAGTAACACAATAAAATAACAATAACGAGGCTATATACAGGTTGTACCGGTACCGAGTCAATGTGCGGGGGTACAGGTTAGTCGAGGTAATATGTACACTGCTCAAAAAAATAAAGGGAACACTTAAACAACACATCCTAGATCTGAATGAATGAAATAATCTTATTAAATACTTTTTTCTTTACATAGTTGAATGTGCTGACAACAAAATCACACAAAAATTATCAATGGAAATCAAATGTATCAACCCATGGAGGTCTGGATTTGGAGTCACCCTCAAAATTAAAGTGGAAAATTAAAGTGGCTGATCCAACTTTGATTTAATGTCCTTAAAACAAGTCAAAATGAGGCTCAGTAGTGTGTGTGGCCTCCACGTGCCTGTATGACCTCCCTACAACGCCTGGGCATGCTCCTGATGAGGTGGCGGATGGTCTCCTGAGGGATCTCCTCCCAGACCTGGACTAAAGCATCCGCCAACTCCTGGACAGTCTGTGGTGCAACGTGGCGTTGGTGGATGGAGCGAGACATGATGTCCCAGATGTGCTCAATTGGATTCAGGTCTGGGGAACGGGCGGGCCAGTCCATAGCATCAATGCCTTCCTCTTGCAGGAACTGCTGACACACTCCAGCCACATAAGGTCTAGCATTGTCTTGCATTAGGAGGAACCCAGGGCCAACCGCACCAGCATATGGTCTCACAAGGGGTCTGAGGATCTCATCTCGGTACCTAATGGCAGTCAGGCTACCTCTGGCGACCACATGGAGGGCTGTGCGGCCCCCCAAAGAAATGCCACCCCACACCATGACTGACCCACCGCCAAACCGGTCATGCTGGAGGATGTTGCAGGCAGCAGAACGTTCTCCACGGTGTCTCCAGACTCTGTCACGTCTGTCACATGTGCTCAGTGTGAACCTGCTTTCATCTGTGAAGAGCACAGGGCGCCAGTGGCGAATTTGCCAATCTTGGTGTTCTCTGGCAAATGCCAAACGTCCTGCACGGTATTGGGCTATAAGCACAACCCCCACCTGTGGACGTCAGGCCCTCATACCACCCTCATGGAGTCTGTTTCTGACCGTTTGAGCAGACATGCACATTTGTGGCCTGCTGGAGGTCATTTTGCAGGGCTCTGGCAGTGCTCCTCCTGCTCCTCCTTGCACAAAGGCGGAGGTAGCAGTCCTGCTGCTGGGTTGTTGCTCTCCTACGGCCTCCTCCACGTCTCCTGATGTACTGGCCTGTCTCCTGGTAGCGCCTCCATGCTCTGGACACTACGCTGACAGACACAGCAAACCTTCTTGCCACAGCTCGCATTGATGTGCCATCCTGGATGAGCTGCACTACCTGAGCCACTTGTGTGGGTTGTAGACTCCATCTCATGCTACCACTAGAGTGAAAGCACCGCCAGCATTCAAAAGTGACCAAAACATCAGCCAGGACGCATAGGAACTGAGAAGTGGTCTGTGGTCACCACCTGCAAAACCAGTCCTTTATTGGGGGGTGTCTTGCTAATTGCCTATAATTTCCACCTGTTGTCTATTCCATTTGCACAGCAGCATGTGAAATGTATTGTCAATCAGTGTTGCTTCCTAAGTGGACAGTTTGATTTCACAGAAGTGTGATTGACTTGGAGTTACATTGTGTTGTTTAAGTGTTCCCTTTATTTTCTTGAGCAGTGTATATGTAGGTCGGGGTAAAGTGACTATGCATTGATAATAAACAAAAAGTAGCAGCAGTGTATGTGAAGAGTGTGAAGGAATGTGAATGTGTGTATCTGTTTTGTGTGGGTGTCCACGTGTGTGTGTTGTAGTATGTGTGAGTGTGTGGTTAGAGTCTAGTGAGTGTACACTGAGACGGTGAAAGAGAGTCAGTGCGAAAAATTATAATACAATAATGGGGTCAATGCAAATAGTCCGGGTAGCAAATTTGATTAAGTGTTCAGCAGTCTTATGGCTTGTTCAGGAGCCTTTTGGTCCCAGACTTGGCGCTCCGGTACCAGAGAGAACAGTCTATGACTTTGGTGGCTGGAGTCTGACAATTTTTAGGGCCTACCTCTGACACCGCCTGGTATAGAGGTCCTGGATGGCATGAAGCTCTGTCCCAGTAATGTACTGGGCCATACGCACTACCCTCTGTAGTGCCTTGCGGTCGAATGCCAAGCAGTTGCCATACCAAGCGGTGATGCAACCAGTCAGGATGTTCTCGATGGTGCAGCTGTATAACTTTTTGAGGATCTGAGGACCCATGCCAAACATTTTCAGCCATGCCCTCTTCATGACTGTTGGTGTGTTTGGACCATGATAGGGCCTTAGTGATGTGGACACCAAGGAACTCGAAGCTGCTCAGCTGCTTTGTCTTGCTAATATTGAGGGAGAGGTTGTTGTCCACACTGCCAGGTCTCATTGTCGTCGGTGATCAGGCTTACCACCGTTGTGTCGTCTGCTAACTTGATGGTGTTGGATTCGTGCGTGGCCATGCAGTCGTGGGTGAACAGGGAGTACAGGAGGGGATTAAGCATGCACCTGAGGGGCCCCCGTGTTGAGGGTCAGTGTGGCAGATGTGTTGTTACCTACCCTCACCAGCTGGGGGGTGGCCCGTCAGGAAGTACAAGATCCAGTTGCTGACGGAGATGTTCAGTCCCAGGGTCCTTAGCTTAGTAATGAGCTTTGAGGGCACTATGCTGTTGAACGCTGAGCTGTAGTCAATGAATAGCATTCTCACGTAGCTGTTCCTTTTGTCCAGGTGGGAAAGGGCAGTGTGGAGTGCGATAGAGATTGCGTCATCTGTGGATCTTTTGGTGCGGTATCCGAATTTGAGTGGGTCCAGGGAGTCTGGGATGATGGTGTTGAGGTGAGCCATGACCAGTCTTTCAAAGCATTGGATGGCTACAGATGTGAGTGCTACGGGGCGATAGTCATTTAGACAGGTTATCTTGGCGTTTCTGGGCACAGGGACTATGGTGGTCTGCTTGAAACATGTAGGTATTACAGACTCAGTCAGGGACAGGTTGAAAATGTCAGTGAAGACACTTTCCAGCTGGTAGCGCATGCTCTGAGTACGCGTCCTGGTAATCCATATGGTCCTGGAGCCTTCTGAATGTTAACTGGTTTAAAGGTCTTACTACATGCTCTGAGTACGCGTCCTGGTAATCCGTCTGGTCCTGGGGCCTTCTGAACGTTAACTGGTTTAAAGGTCTTACTACATGCTCTGAGTACGCGTCCTGGTAATCCGTCTGGTCCTGGGGCTTTGTGAATGTTGACCTGTTTAAAGGTCCTACTCACAGTTTTGGTGCAGGTACAGTTGACTAGCGCAAAAATAATAGTGGATACTGTTGAAAATAACATCCTATGTAACTTATCGATCCCCCCCCCCCCCCAAGCATCTCAGATTAGGAGCGTTGATCTAGGATCAGTTTGGCCTTTTCGGTCACATGGGGACCTGATCCTAATCGGCCCTGACCACAGAGACACAACTTACCCATTTGGCTCGGACAAAAAGCGCTCAAGGTATTTCTTCCAATTCTTTGGGAAGCCAAAGAGAAACTTCTTCAACAGCCATGTTGGGAGTTCTGGACGAGGAGAAAGGCACAAAAACAAGAATAAATAATGTATTTATTTAACTCATTTTCGGTTAATTGAAAATGAAACCTTGTTTAAAGTATCTCTTTCTCAAACAGGCAATACAGAGATGGTGACAAAATAATTGTTATCCCCCAGAAAATACAATAAACATTACAACTAATATTATGGTTGAACTCAAATGTACTGGTTGATAAAATACCTGTATTTATGGAAAATGTGTTTGAAAAGGGAGTTTTGTTTTTTAAATTAAATTGTAAATTGGAATGGTAGAGTTGTCTTACATGGAGCTATCGGATATGTATGGGAAGGTCTGCTCAATACAAGATTTCAACCAATTGATTACAGCATTACCCCAAAAATGGAGGAGGCAGGTGGCAGTGGGAGGAGGTAGGGAACTGGTCTGTCTGCCCAATATAAAGGATCAAAACTGGCAGAGGAACACAAATAACATAAATAGGAAAGTATAGCAGTTTCATTTGAGGACCAGGATGTTGACAGCTGTGCCATACAGAGATTTTTGATGTACCGATTCCATGGCACAGGGTGTAGTGACTTCAGAAAGTATTCATACCCCTCGACTGTTTCGAGATCTTGTTGTGTTACAGCCTGAATTTAAAATGGCACTGGCCTACACACAATAATACTGAAGAGTATTATAAAATACATTTTTAAAAAACAGCAAGGGGTGGCGGTACTTGGATAATTATTTTTTTTTATGCTAGTGCCTTAAAAAAAATTGCAATATTTTGAGAATAAAGAGGCATTCTTTTTTCGAGAATAAACTAACGTATGGGCAAAACAAACAAATGGCTATCGATGTAATGATCTAATAAACTCATTCAAAACGGGCGTCACTGTGCACTCACGCTTATCAATCTAATAACTTGCACGTACACCACCAGGTTTCCCCCTGGCAATTTCAGACTAGGCATGCACTCCTCTAACGGCCATGGTGTGGTATGATCACAAACAAAAAAACTTTATTGGCACTGAACGCAAAGAGCTTGGGTTGAGTCCCTGTCAGTCTGCCCTCCGAATTCGCTACAAAGTTCTGCTGCGTAGCCTAGATGAACACCTTGCAAAAAAAATCTGTGCGTAATGGAAATTATCTTTTGGATCCTGGCTATGCGTGTGTATGTATCACATGTCAAACTGCTCTCCAAATTAGCTGCAACACCGCTATTTTCAGCACACTATAAACCAAATAGCGGCCCACTAGATTGAGTACCTTAAACCTGTAGGCTAATCTTACGTTACACAGTGGTCAAGTGAAAGTACCTATCCAACCGCTGCGGGAGGAATGAACAATGAAAGCAAGGGTTTTACACAAGTGTCTGTGGGAGAAGGCAACTCAAGGACCACTCCCTGCAGGCGCAAACCAGCTAATCTGAGGCGCTGTTTGAATATATTCATGGATGGTCTAAATACAGGTCTATTAGATAAATGATGATAGGCTATAAAGAAATAATCACTGATCTGACATGACTTTTATTTCACCTTTATTTAACCAGGTAAGCCAGTTGAGAACAAGTTCTCATTTACAACTGCGACCTGGCCAAGATAAAGCAAAGCAGTGCGGTAAAAAAACAACAACAACACAGAGTTACGTATGGAATAAACAAAAACGTACAGTCAATAACACAATAGAAAATCTATATACAGTGTGTGCAAAATGTTGTAAGTTATGGAGGTAAGGCAATAAATAGGCCATAGTGCAAAATAATTACAATTTAGTATTAACACTGGAGTGATAGATGTGCAGAAGATGATGTGCAAATAGAGATACTGGGGTGCAAATGAGCAAAATAAATAATGTAAATAACAATATGGGGATGAGGTAGTTGGGTGGGCTAATTACAGATGGGCTGTGTACAGGTGCAGTGATCGGTAAGGTGCTCTGACAACTGATGCTTAAAGTTAGTGAGGGAGATAAGTGTCTCCAGCTTCAGAGATTTTTGCAGTTCGTTCCAGTCATTGGCAGCAGAGAACTGGAAGGAATGGCGGCCAAAGGAGGTGTTGGCTTTGGGGATGACCAGTGAGATATACCTGCTGGAGCGCATACTACGGGTGGGTGTTGCTATGGTGACCAATGATCTAAGATAAGGCGGGGATTTGCCTAGAAGTGATTTATAGATGACCTGGAGCCAGTGTGTTTGGCAACGAATATGTAGTGAGGGCCAGCCAACGAGAGCGTACAGGTCACAATGGTGGGTAGTATATGGGGCTTTGGTGACAAAACGGATGGCACTGTGATAGACTACATCCAATTTGCTGAGTAGAGCGTTGGAGGCTATTTTGTAAATTACATCGCCGAAGTCAAGGATCGGTTAGGATAGTCAGTTTTACGAGGGCATGTTTAGCAGCATGAGTGAAGGAGGCTTTGTTGCGAAATAGGAAGCCGATTCTAGATTTAACTTTGGATTTATTCCTGATTATTATTTGACCATGCTTGTCACTTATGAACATTTTGAACATCTTGGCATGGTTCTGTATAATCTTCACCCGGCACAGCCAGAAGAGGACTGGCCACCCTCATAGCCTGGTTCCTCTCTAGGTTTCTTCCTAGGTTTTCGCCTTTCTAGGGAGTTTTTCCTAGCCACCGTGCTTCTACACCTCATTACTAGCTGTTGGGGTTTAGGCTGGGTTTCGTACAGCCATTCGAGATATTAGCTGAGTAAGAAGGGCTATATAAAATAAAATTGATTGATTGATTGATTGATTGGAGATGCTTAATGTGAGTCTGGAAGGAGAGTTTACGGTCTAACCAGACACCTAGGTATTTGTAGTTGTTCACATATTCTAAGTCAGACCCGCCGAGAGTAGTGATTCTAGTCGGGCAGGCTGGTGCAAGCAGCGTTCGATTGAAGAGCATGCATTTAGTTTTACTAGCGTTTAAGAGCAGTTGGAGGCCACGGAAGGAGTGTTGTATGGCATTGAAGCCGTTTGGAGGTTTGTTAACACAGTGTCCAATGAAGGGCCAGATGTATACAAAATGGTGTCGTCTGCGTAGAGGTGGATCTGAGAGTCACCAGCAGCAAGAGCGACATCATTGATATAGACAGAGAATAGAGTCTGCCCGAGAATTGAACCCTGTGGCACCCCCATAGAGACTGCCAGAGGTCCAGACAACAGGCCCTCCAATTTGACACATTGAACTCTATCTGAGAAGTAGTTGGTGAACCAGGCGAGGCAGTCATTTGAGAAACCAAGGCTATTTAGTCTGCCAATAAGAATGCGGTGATTGACAGAGTCAAAAGCCTTGGCCAGGTCGATGAAGACGGCTGCACAGTACTGTCTTTTATTGATCGCGGTTATTATATCGTTTAGGACCTTGAGCGTGGCTGAGGTGCACCCATGACCAGCTCGGAAACCAGATTGCATAGCAGAGAAGGTACGGTGGGATTCGAAATGGTTGGTGATCTGTTGGTTAACTTGGCTTTCAAATACCTTCGAAAGGCAGGATGGATATAGGTCTGTAACAGTTTGAATCTAGGAGGGGATGACCGCGGCAGCTTTCCAATCTCTGGGGATCTCAGACGATACGAAAGAGAGGTTGAACAGGCTAGTAATAGGGGTTGCGACAATTTCGGCGGCTAATTTTGGGGTCCAGATTTAGCAGCTCTTTCAGGACATCAGCTATCTGAATTTGGGTGAAGGAGAAGCAGGGGGGGCATGGGCAAGTTGCAGCAGAGGGTGCAGAGCTGGTGGCCGGGGTAGGGGTAGCCAGGTGGAAAGCATGACCAGCCATAGCAAAATGCTTATTGAAATTCTCGATTGTCGTCGATTTATCGGTGGTGACAGTGTTACCTAGCCTCAGTGCAGTGGGTAGCTGGGAGGAGGTGCTCTTATTCTCCATGGACTTTACAGTGTCCCAAAACTTTTTGGAGTTAGTGCTACAGGATGCAAATTTCTGTTTGAAAAAGCTAGCCATTGCTTTCTTAACTGATTGTGTATATTGTTTCCAGACTTCCCTGAAAAGTTGCATATCGCGGGGGCTGTTCGATGCTAATGCAGTACGCCACAGGATGTTTTTGTGCTGGTCAAGGGCAGTCAAGTCTGGGGTGAACCAGGGGCTATATCTGTTCTTAGTTCTGAATTTTTTGAATGGGGTATGCTTATTTAAGATGGAGAGGAAAGTACTTTTGAAGAACATCCAGGCATCCTCTACTGACGGAATGAGGTCAATATCCATCCAGGATACCCGGGCCAGGTCAATTAGAAAGGCCTGCTCGCTGAAGTGTTTTAGGGAGCGTTTGACAGTGATGAGGGGTGGTCGTTTGACCGCAGATCCATTACGGACGCAGGCAATGAGGCAGTGATCGCTGAGATCCTGGTTGAAGACAGCGGAGGTGTATTTAGAGGGTAAATTAGTCAGGATGATATCTATGAGGGTGCCCATGTTTATGGATTTAGGGTTGTACCTGGTAGGTTCCTTGATAATTTGTGTGAGATTGAGGGCATCTAGTTTAGATTGTAGGACGGCCGGGGTGTTAAGCATATCCCAGTTTAGGTCACCAAGCAGTACGAACTCTGAGGATAGATGGGGGGCAAGCAATTCACATATGGTGTCCAGGGCACAACTGGGGGCTGTATCAAGCGGCAACAGTGAGAGACTTATTTCTGGAAAGGTGGCTTTTTAGAAGTAGAAGCTCAAACTGTTTGGGCACAGACCTGGATAGTATGATAGAGCTCTGCAGGCTCTCTCTACAGTAGATTGCAACTCCGCCCCCTTTGGCAGTGCTATCTAGACGGAAAATGTTATAGTTTGGGATGGACATTTCTGAATAGCCTAGCATAATATCTCCTTTAACTAACAATCTATCGGTGATGTCTTCAAGGATGGGAAGGAATGAAGGAGGTTTTCCCAAAACAGGGGCATCGTCTCCGTTACAGGCTATTTGTCTCGGCTATACCGCTAATTTAGGCTCCCACTGGTTCACCTTATAGAGGATAATGGCTAGACTGGTTGGCTGTTAGGTTAAAATAATGGAATGTAAAATTACTGTCTCAAATCAAATGTTATTTGCCACACGCGCCGAATACAACAGGTGTAGACCTTACAGTGAAACACTTACTTACAAGCCCTTAACCAACAATGAAGTAATAGCAATAGTTTTCAGACGGGGCTTTATCCAAACCCCTGCCCTGTGGCTATGCAAGGTCCATGACAAGGGTTTGGGGGCAGTCCTTGAGCCCCACGGGGACGTGCAATCCTTCTCCACACAATCCGTGACCTACATTCACAAGACAATAAAACACAGGCTTATGAGGCTACTTCATTGGAAGTAGGCCTCATTAACATCGACGGGGCTGTAGTGGAGCGGGTCGAGAGTTTCAAGTTCCTTGGTGTCCACATCACCAAAGTATCATGGTCCAAACACACCAAGACAGTCGTGAAGAGGGCACGACAACACCTTTTCCCCCTTAGGAGACTGAAAATATTTGGCATGGGTCCCCAGATCCTCAAAAAGTTCTACAGCTGCACCAGAGAGCATCCTGACCGGTTCCATCACCGCCTGGTATGGAAACTGCTCGGCATCCAACCGTAAGGCGCTACAGAGGGTAGTGCGTACGGCCCAGTACATCACTGGGGCCAAGCTTCCTGCCATCCAGGACCTCTATACTAGGCGGTGTCAGAGGAAGGCCCAAAACATTGTCAAAGACTCCAGCCACCCTAGTCATAGACTGTTCTCTCTGCTACCGCACGGCAAGCGGTACTGGAGCGCCAAGTCTAGGTAAAAAAAGCTCCTTAACAGCTATAAGAACAATTAATTAAATGGCCACCCAGACTATTTACATTGACCCCCCCCCCCCCCCGTTTATTTTTACACTGCTGCTACTCGCTGTTTATTATCTATGCATAGTCACTTTACCCCTACCTACATGTACAAATTACCTCGACTAACCTGTACCCCCGCACATTGACTCAGTACCGGTACCCCCTGTATATAGCCTCGTTATTGTTATGTCATTTTACTGTGTTACTTTTTATTTTATACTTTAGTTTATTTAGTAAATATTTTGGCAACACATTTCTTGAACGGCATTGTTGTTTGAGGGCTTGTAAGTAAGCATTTCACGGTAAGGTCTACACCTGTTGTATTCGGCGTATGTGACAATCAAAATGTGATTTCATTTTGATACACACAACTCCATGTCTCTTTGCAGTCTGACAACGCGCCATGAACGTTAGAATGGTATTGCTTTGGGGATACAGTGTGTGTGTGTGTGACGCCTGTTTGAACGAGTGTATTAGACCCCCCCCCCCCCCCACAACACCCACCTGTCTCTACCTCATCCGAGTGGTTCCTCCTTCTGAAAATAATCTGTGGCACAACATCTTCCAGGTCCTAATAGGCCTACTTATAATAATATGGTTATTTTGTGCTAAAAGAGAAAGTATGTCCTTGTTACTAAAGCCAATTCTAAAGTATAGTTTCACCAGGTCATCTAACTGCAGGCATTTCAATGGTGGCACGCACAGCAACAGGGAGCCAGTGAGACATGAAAATAAATAATAATATGCCATTTAGCAGACGCTTTTATCAAAAGCGACTTACATTTATGCGTGCACACATTATTATTTTTTTGTGTATGGGTGGTCCCGGGGAATCGAACCCACTACCTTGGCGTTACAAGCGCCGTGCTCTACCATGAGACATGAGGTTAACCAAATCCCCTACTTTAATCTTGAAATATAACTGCAACTTTATTCTTAAAATGTTGATCTATGGCAAGACTTGAAAATGGCTGTCTAGCAATGGTCAACAACCAACTTGCCACAGCTTGAAGAATTTGAAAAAATGAACAGAGACTTACCCAAAAAGCTGAAATCGCTGCCAAAGATGATTCTAACATGTATTGACTCAGGGGTGTGAATCCTTATGTAAATGAGGTATTTATGTATTTCATTTTCAATAAATTTGCTAAAAATTCTAAAAACATGTTTTCACTTTGTCATTATGGGGTATTGTGTGTAGATGGGTGAGAGAAAAAATCTATCAATTTTGAATTAAGACTAACACCACCATTTGGAAAAAGTCAAGGGGTATGAATACTTTCTGAAGGCACTGTATGAGCTGATATATAAAATGACGCAAGATTTCATACTTTCTGCTTTTCAGCTCAAATACAACCATTGCAGCTCTTGTTGTGAGGATACAGAATCAATAGACCATTTGTTTTGGTATTTCCCACAGGTTGCCTGCTTCTGGTCTCAGGTTCAGGAATGGCAGAAAAGCATAACATTAATCTAAAATGAACCCTAGAAATAGCATTGTTGGGAGATTTGGAGAGACCTGGTCAGTAAATAGATAAAATATTAATACTATTAAGTATTTATCTTCAATTCGTAAAATCGGTGGATTCTATTTGATTAGATAAGATTCAAATTGTATGTTAAACATCACAGCATAGTTGAAAGATATGAGGCGTAGAAATCCTAAGAGGGTGGCCAGCAGAAATAGGTGGGATGACCTGAGGGAAACCAAGGGTTGGAATTTGGAACCGGAGATGAGTGGGAGTGAGGGGTAAAACGACATTATGACACTCGCTGCCACACACGTACATAGTGCCACACATGCAGACACACAGTTAGCCTTGCTGTTTTACATTTGATTGATCTTTGATGGCTTTTGTTTTCCATTGTTATGTTGTTGTTCCTGTCTCTTTATTCTCTCATTTGTTGGCAAGTTTGTTTGGATTGGGCGGGGATGGTGGTTCGGAGGGGGGGGGGGGGGGGGGGGGGGGTCTTGGATAGTTGAGCGGCTTCACTGCAGGTGGATTGTATAGTAGAAAATAGCTTCATAATGAGCTGTATTATGGCTGTGCATGATTAACACAGGACAATACAGTGAGCTCCAAAAGTATTGGGACAGTGACACATTTTGTTGTTGTTTTGGCTCTGTGCTCCAGCACTTTGGATTTGAAATGATACAATTACTATTTTATCTTTATTTATTTTACCTTTAATTTAACTAGGCAAGTCAGTTAAGAACAAATTCTTATTTACAATGACGGCCTACACCGGCCAAACCCGGACGACGCTGGGCCAATTGTGCGCCGCCCTGACTATGAAGTTAAAGTGCAGACTGTCAGCTTTAATTTGAGGGTAATTTTCATCCATATCGTGTGAACCGTTTAGAAATTACAGCACTTTTTGTACATAGTCTACCTGTTTTAGAGGACCAAATGTATTGGGACAAATTCACTTATGTGCATTAAAGTAGTCAAAAGTTTAGTATTTGGTCCCATATTCCTAGCACACAATGATTACGTCAAGCTTGTGACTCTACACACTTGTTGGATGCATTTGCTGTTTGTTTTGGTTGTGTTTCAGATTATTTTGTGCCCAATTGAAATGAATGGTAAATAATGTATTGTGTCATTTTAGAGTCACTTTCATTGTATACTGAACAAAAATATAAACCCAACATGTAAAGTGTTGCTCCCATGTTTCATGAGCTGAAATGAAAGATTCCAGAAATGTTCCATACGCACAAAAAGCTTATTTATATCAAATTTTGCCATTCAATGTTAATTTCTCTACCATAAGCCACCTCCAACGTCGTTTTAGAAAATGTGGCAGTACGTCCGATCGGTCTCACAACCACAGACCATGTGTAACCACGCCAGCCCAGGACCTCCAGACCCCGCTTCTTCAACTGCGGGATCGTCTGAGACCAGCCACCCGATGAAACTGAGGAGTATTTCTGTCTGTAATAAAGCCCTGTAATAAAACTAATTCTGAGTGGGTGGGCCTATGCCTTCCCAGGCCCACCCATGGCTGCGCCCCTGTCCAGTCATGCGAAATCCATAGATTAGGGCCTAATTTATTTCAAAAACACAACCAAAACAAACAGCAAATGCAACCAACAAGTGTGTAGAGTCACAAGCTTGATGTAAACATTGTGTGCTAGGAATATGGGACCAAATACTAAACTTTTGACTACTTTAATGCACATAAGTGAATTTGTCCCAATACTTTTGGTCCCCTAAAACTGGGCGACTATGTACAAAAATTGCTATAATTTCTAAACGGTTCACCCTATATGGATGAAAATAGCCCTCAAACTAAAGCTGAGTCTGCACTTTAACCTCAGTCATTATCTCATTTCAAATCCAAAGTGCTGGAGTACAGAGCCACAACAAAAAATGTGTCACTGCCCCAATATTTTTGGAGCTCACTGTATATTCCAAAATGGCTGATTATTTCTGACTTACGAGTTCCGCTGAAATCCGGGGTCATCTTTCCCACCAGGATGTAAATGCTGCCAGAAGCGGTCTTCAGGACGTTGGTTGAGATTCGCTCTGCGATGAGGTTGCTGTGCCAGGGCATCTTGTTGTCCCTTGGTGGAAAGCATAGAGGCAGTCTAAGTAAATGAATCAATGTTTGCTTTTACAAAAATAATGGCGTGTTAGTGAACCTGTGGTACCACTTCATATGATTCCGAGAAACAATCAAATTCTACTTACGCACGGACACCATCCACATACAACCTGCCTCTCCTACTCTTCAGGAGCCAGTGTCTAAGGTGAATCCCTGTAGCCTACCAAGCAATAGACATTAATAGTTATATTAGGTAGATATCTATGGATATGCACGTCCTGATAGAAAAATGAAGTGCCATACAAGAGAACATTACTTCCAAGCAAAAATACAAAGCTAACAGCAACAAACTCAGAGGAAACAGCACCAGTCATCAGCCTATAAATCCAAAGGAAGCAGCGTCATCAAGACCATCTACTTACATTGGATCCAGTGGACTCTGCTAGGTGCTTGGCTTGGAATACAGCCTCCCGCTTCTTGGGGATGGAGATCTTCGGTGAGACCTGCAGGAGGGGGTCGTGCACCAGGTCTGGGAGGGGCTTGGGGGGAGGCTCATCACGGTAGAACCCACACTGGCTGAGGCCGGCATCTGGACTCGACGGAACGCTGGTCTCTGATAGGCCAGTGGGCACTGAGGTTACACTACAGGTCACGTTCACACTGGCGTCCTCTTCGGTGCCCCCGGCGGCATGTGCCGGGGTCGACATGCTGCGCACACGGGTACATCCTGTAAAGAGAAAGCGGTTATGAAAGATTGCTTTGTTTGTTGAGTCGACATCACATGTTGATAACAGTTGACTTATGGTGTTTGGGTAATTAGGACCAGAATAATGGTAGAACAGTCCCTACTCTACATTTCTAGCCCTCACCTCCTTTCATGGGATCCTGTGGGCTGCTCACTTGGTCCCTCTTTCGCCTTCCCTCTTTCAGAAGAGAAAACCTATTTGCTAGAGAATCCAGGCATGGCAGTCTATCCAAAACAACTTGTGACCCTGTGCAGAAAACAGAAACAAATCATTTTGCTTCTCAAAGTCTTAAATTAAAGTATTTCTGACAACCGAGCAACCTTGATTGACAATAATTGAGGATAAGAGAAACAACTCAACTTACTGTAAACTGATTCATCATGTACAATGTTGTGTGCCCCATTGCAATCTTCCGTTGACTTCGACCTATGCTTTGACCTTCTGTTGGTTGTCTGGGAGGCACTTTCGAAGTCTTTGAGGGGTGCTGGTTGTTGGATGTCATTTGAGCTGAGCAGAGTGTGCGGGTATGACAAAGCTTTCCTTTGGGACTTTGTTGAGAAAGCATCCAGAGCTGGGCCTTTATTTTGTGTATTTCTGTTGGTTTGCTTGAACGCACTACTACCCATGTCTTTCAAGGGTGACGGTCGTTGAAGGTCTTGTGTGTGGACCATAAAGTGTGAATATGTCAAACCCTTGCTTGGCGATTGAACTGGTGAAAGGGTCATAGCCTCTGCCTCGTAAGTGAATTCAAGGTCCTCGTTTTCCTTTTGTTCATAGTTCACCCAAGGCTGATGTCGTTTTCTTGGCGAGTTCATTACTCCACCATGTTCTTCTTGGACTCGCTTTTCTCTGACCTGTTTTTCTCTCACGGGTTTAGGTGTTTTGGTCCTCTCGTTCTCAACCGGTATTCTCTCTGCCTGAACTCTAGATTTCATCCTCGCAAATACCTTGGCTGGGCTTTCAACGAGTTCCCTGGGTATCGGCTCGCTTGTCCTCAAAGCCTTCAATGCAGGGAAAAAAGTTCGGTCTCCACCAACTGGGTCTTCTTCATAAAAATAAGTTGCTTCTCTGTTGTATCTTGACGGAGTAAACATGTTTTTCACGATTTTGGACGACACGTAGAGAAATCTTAACTGGAGCCACTGAAATAAACTAGCAAGCGACATGCAACCACGATCTGATCATTTCAAAATGGTCCATTGTTTGATGGTTTCTATGAGGGGAACAGAATACAATTATTTATTTGCTGGAATCTGGTTTTACTAGGCTAGCTGGCTGCTATAGCTTACATCGTACTAGCGTTGAATTACGCGGTACTAAAAACGGAAAGCCAACGACTGGATAACTAGCTAACATTAGCCAGCTTGCTGCTACAATGACATAACGTTATGTCGTTTCAAAGGTAAATTATTTGGTTGGCGCTTATTCCTGATTTACTCAATATATGTATTCTATATGACATACTATTTGTGAATTCATGCATTAATTATAAACTGTAAAATAGCAAACAATTAGCGACCTAGCGTTACTCACCGCAGAGATCCGTAATTTGAACTTCCCTCGAATGTCGTGTGATTGGACGGAATTTTCAAATGCGTCACTTCCGCCTAGAACTTCCGTTCACCGAGATGGCCTAGATCATGCGGTAAAAAAGAAAATGAAAGATGTGCGCATATAGTCGTTTGCTGTTAAACTATTTTTAATGCGAATGCCTGCAGGAAAGAAGAAACGAAAAATAGCAGCAACTGCTTAGATATGGCACTTCATACGGTGGGAGCTGCACAACTACCATCGGAGGTATGGGTCCACGTGTTTGGATTTCTGTCAACAACAGACAAACTAAACATTAGATCATGCTGCAAATATTTCAAAAAAATGGTTGACCACTGGTCCCTTTGGAAAGGCAACACGGTGGTGCTTAAAAAGCTGTGTGCCTACACCACGCAGTTCTGGACAACTCTTCGCCGCAGGAAAATCAGCTCAGTTGTTGTACAGAGGGCAAGTTTGAAAGAATGGAAACAGCTTGCCCTATCCCTCCCGTGGCTCACCACAATAGCCGTGGAGCATTGTTTCGACGTGAAAGCCTTTGAAATTCTCAAGCAATTTCATAACTTGAAGAGGCTGGCTATTCGCAGCTGTCGCTGTGGCCAGGGACTGTCTGATGCAATTGTGCCTCTGCAGCAAGTGACTCATTTTAGTGTGTGCGAGATGCACTGTGCTCCAAGATCAGATATTATTAGTTTTGTCTCAAAGCTCTCCCATCTGACATCTCTACTCTATCACGAAGGCAATCATCCTATCCCAAGACAGACATTCCACATAATGCTTAACCGCTTGCCACATCTGAAGCATCTGTCTTTGAAAATGGGAACACAACATGGCTCTCTCCCAGATGATTATTTTAAAATTTCTAAAACAATAAATGGCTTTCCAGGTGAGGCACTTTACACAGTTACAACCCAAGACAACAGCTTGGGTTGTAACCTGAGTTTTTTTTTACTACTCATACAAAACATTGGCGAAACAATTAATGATTAGGTAAGCATAGCCTACCACATGGTTTTCACGAGCTGATTAGGCTACTATGTTCTAGATAGCTAGTGTGTGAAGTCCATGTTGAAATATGGTTATATGTCTGTACTAGCCTATATCATCATAAATTGCATGTTATTAAATTCAGCAATAATGACTAAATCTGTCTTTAGAAGATCCGCAGGTCGGGCAACATGGACCCCACCTTATCTGAAGAGGCGCTGAAGTGCCTCCCCTCCCTGCAGAGCCTAGCTGTGGTCTACAGAGACAGGGACGTAGATCCCAGCAGGTGCCACCTAAAAACATGGCTGAGGGAACTCCCTCAACTGGCAGTTCTCAACATTGCAAGTGAGTATGTGATTCGCCAGCTGGTAAACTCGCATTTTCCATGTCGTGCGCTGTTGGTCGGGTTACACAGTTGGTGGGGTTACGGGGCAGCAGTATGGAGTCTGACAGTTGGTGGGGTTACGGGGCAGCAGTATGGAGTCTGACAGTTGGTGGGGTTACGGGGCAGCAGTATGGAGTCTGACAGTTGGTGGGGTTACAGGGCAGCAGTATGGAGTCTGACAGTTGGTGGGGTTACAGGGCAGCAGTATGGAGTCTGACAGTTGGTGGGGTTACAGGGCAGCAGTATGGAGTCTGACAGTTGGTGGGGTTACAGGGCAGCAGTATGGAGTCTGACAGTTGGTGGGGTTACGGGGCAGCAGTATGGAGTCTGACAGTTGGTGGGGTTACGGGGCAGCAGTATGGAGTCTGACAGTTGGTGGGGTTACGGGGCAGCAGTATGGAGTCTGACAGTTGGTGGGGTTACAGGGCAGCAGTATGGAGTCTGACAGTTGGTGGGGTTACAGGGCAGCAGTATGGAGTCTGACAGTTCTGTGCATTTTTTTATCCCCCAGTGCACCCCTCGTCCTGACTGTCCTATGGCATCTATTGGGGATGTCTGACTGTCGTATGTTTTGTTTCCCAGAAGGCCATCCCGTCAGTGCTTATGCACACTCCATTCCCGGCACAGTGACCAGTTTGACTCTGCAGCGGGTGATGGTGGAGCAGAAGGACATGAAGACTCTAGGGAAACAGGCTTCAGGCCTCTTGCATCTGCACTTTGACCCATGCAGCTATAAAAGCGGCAGCAGCATCGGAGAGATCCCCAAACTATTCCCCCAGCTCATGACCCTTAAAATGCGGTGAGATATTAACATTGGCATAATTGACAAAACCGTAACTGACTTCTGTGTTGTGGTACGAACCCAGATGTAGTAATACATTACTGGTGAAATCATAATTAAGTGTCTACATGTTAACCTTTTCCAAAGGTTTAACTCATTGATCTAAGCCAAGCAGATACAGTGGGGGGAAAAAGTATTTAGTCAGCCACCAATTGTGCAAGTTCTCCCACTTAAAAAGATGAGAGAGGCCTGTAATTTTCATCATAGGTACACGTCAACTATGACAGAAAATTCCAGAAAATCACATTGTAGGATTTTTAATGAATTTATTTGCAAATTATGGTGGAAAATAAGTATTTGGTCACCTACAAACAAGCAAGATTTCAGGCTCTCACAGACCTGTAACTTCTTCTTTAAAAGAGGCTCCTCTGTCCTCCACTCGTTACCTGTATTAATGGCACCTGTTTGAACTTGTTATCAGTATAAAAGACACCTGTCCACAACCTCAAACAGTCACACTCCAAACTCCACTATGGCCAAGACCAAAGAGCTGTCAAAGGACACCAGAAACAAAATTGTAGACCTGCACCAGGCTGGGAAGACTGAATCTGCAATAGGTAAGCAGCTTGGTTTGAAGAAATCAACTGTGGGAGCAATTATTAGGAAATGGAAGACATACAAGACCACTGATAATCTCCCTCGATCACGCAAGATCTCACCCCGTGGGGTCAAAATGATCACAAGAACGGTGAGCAAAAATCCCAGAACCACACGGGGGGACCTAGTGAATGACCTGCAGAGAGCTGGGACCAAAGTAACAAAGCCTACCATCAGTAACACACTACGCCGCCAAGGACTCAAATCCTGCAGTGCCAGACGTGTCCCCCTGCTTAGGCCAGTACATGTCCAGGCCCGTCTGAAGTTTGCTAGAGTGCATTTGGATGATCCAGAAGAGGATTGGGAGAATGTCAGATGAAACCAAAATATAACTTTTTGGTAAAAACTCAACTCGTCGTGTTTGGAGGACAAAGAATGCTGAGTTGCAACCAAAAGAACACCATACCTACTGATGAAGCATGGGGGTGGAAACATCATGCTTTGGGGCTGTTTTTCTGCAAAGGGACCAGGACGACTGATCCGTGTAAAGGAAAGAATGAATGGGGCCATGTATCGTGAGATTTTGAGTGAAAACCTCCTTCCATCAGCAAGGGCATTGAAGATGAAACGTGGCTGGGTCTTTCAGCATGACAATGATCCCAAACACACCGCCCGGGCAACGAAGGAGTGGCTTCGTAAGAAGCATTTCAAGGTCCTGGAGTGGCCTAGCCAGTCTCCAGATCTCAGCCCCATAGAAAATCTTTGGAGGGAGTTGAAAGTCTGTGTTGCCCAGCGACAGCCCCAAAACATCACTGCTCTAGAGGAGATCTGCATGGAGGAATGGGCCAAAATACCAGCAACAGTGTGTGAAAACCTTGTGAAGACTTACAGAAAACGTTTGACCTGTGTCATTGCCAACAAAGGGTATATAACAAAGTATTGAGAAACTTTTGTTATTGACCAAATACTTATTTTCCACCATAATTTGCAAATAAATTCATTAAAAATCCTACAATGTGATTTTCTGGAATTTTTTTCCCTCATTTTGTCTGTCATAGTTGACGTGTACCTATGATGAAAATTACAGGCCTCTCTCATCTTTTTAAGTGGGAGAACTTGCACAATTGGTGGCTGACTAAATACGTTTTCCCCCCCACTGTATACTGATATACTTTTCTATTCTACTTTTTCAGACACTACTATGTACCAGAGAGGGAGTTCTTGAGCCTCCAACAGTTGAAGCATTTGGAGCGGTTAGAGATCCTGGATGCACAAAGTCCTCACCTTCTGCAGCTGATCCACAAGCTGCAGGTCCTGACCAACCACAGCACCCAAATCATCCATTCTCGGGGCCTGAGAGATCCCACAGGCTGCTACTGTACTCACTACTAACATAACCACTAAGAGGAAGTGAACACTGGTAGACTGTAGCCCATGTTTTCAACAGCACGTGTTGAAATGGTCATCATTTGAGGTACGTTTGCGATGCCAACTTGGCTGATGCAAAATAAGGAAACAGCTGAAATTATGAGGATATTTAGTAAGTCAATACCTCTGTGAGGTCAGGGGTCAACAGGATGTGTATAGAACAGGGAAACAAACAGTTCAGAACACAGGAACAGATTCAGAATTAGACATTTTATACAATATTTTTTGTTTGAATCTTGTGTACGCTTGATTGGGTTGAACAGAATAAATGATTGTGCACAAAAACAACATTTTTACATTTTAGTCATTTAGCAGACGCTCTTATCCAGAGCGACTTACAGTTTAGTGAGTGCATACATTTTCCTACTGGCAATAACAAAACATTTTTGACGAAAGACAATACAATTGACAATAAAAATTAGCTGATTTATCAGTTTTAAGATTGATTAAAGAACCATATTATAGTTGCACTACTGAAAGCTTTCTCTGTGGTTGAACACAACTACTATTACGGCATGAACTGATGTGTTGAGTCTCCAGTGATCACACATCTCATCCCGTCTTCTACTAAGTTGCCTCAAGAGGGCAGTACACACATGGCAAAGAGTCGGTCAGTCAATCATTTCCTGTAGCCTGTTGGAGCACATTGCCTTGCTATCTTTGTGATGGTCCAGAGAGATGCATACCCCTTCCACATATCCCACCTGTGTGGAAGTAGGAAGTGCCTTGAAAAGTGAAATGAAGGACAAATGTATGCACACTTCTCGTTTGATACCTTTGTTGCCACCCACAGATGTAAAATATAAATAATATGCCATTTAGCAGACGCTTTTATCCAAAGCGACTGTTACGAACCCCGTGGCTTTAAACGTCTAGGGTGGATGGAGAAGAGACCCGTAACATAATTCATGCAAATTAGAATCGTGACATGGAACAGTGAGAACAAAAACTACACGACAACCATAAACTACCGTCAAACATAAAAGGTTTATTGCTGAACACACGGTAAAGATTTGGGAAAAGGGCTGAGCAGGACCCAAGAAATGAAACAATAGTGTAAAACACCCCTAAACTGATCTTGCCTGCCTCAATAACCGCTAAGCTACTGCTAATCATACAAAAGTACAGTGGGGGGTCCGCTCAGGTCTAACTAGTGTTTTTAGACAGATTTCTTCCTACGGGTAATGTACGCCCAAGGGCAACTTGCTTAAACTCCCCTTTTCCCAGAAACACACAAAGTTACCAAACAGAGTAACCAGCAACTTAGTGAGTAAACAAAACACAGGACACCACAGTATCCATACGAAAATAGTCTCTAACAACAAACACAACTGACCGGCTTTTTAACAATGGGATGTGTGATTGAAAAACCAGCAACAGGTGGTGCAATGCAGAGGAATGTTCACTGATTGGTCCACCTTAGCAATCAGCAGACACCTCAACGACCACCAATCAGGAACATACAGGACACCTGTGATTAGGGCAGAAGGAGAGGAAAAACACAAAAAGACACAGGATACCTGTATCCGTAACAGCGACTTACAGTCGTGTGCATACATTTTTACGTATGGGTGGTCCCGGGGATCGAACCCACTACCCTGGCGTTACAAGCGCCATGCTCTACCAATAGAGCTACAGAGGACCACGTGTAGTTTACCCTACCACAATGTGCCATTGTGATCAGAAGTTGGGATGCATTTGCCTACAGCACGCAGTCATCATTCTGACTATTTGGGCATAAAGTACTGACACTCTTTTAGAATGCAATGTTGCTCTCAGTCTGTTTTAGAATGATCTTATAACACTAATGTATACCACTTAGCAAATGGTGCATACATTTTTAGTATGTGTCTGTGATCCCTGTGGGAATTCAACCCATAACCTTGAATTGAACCTAGAATCTTATCTGAAACGCGTAGTTCCACTCAGTTTGATAGAAGCAAACAAGCACTGTGCTGTTTAAACGCACACTCAGAAGATGAACGCCCTCTTCAGATGGGCTTCTACTCTCTCGACGTCTTAGTTAAAAAGTTCATTGTAAGGGTAATTAGTTTCTGTTTCACAGGGGTTGAATGTAATGTGGCTCAATCCCCTCTCTGAGTTTCACGGTTTATTGAAGCTCTGAAATATTTAGCATTCAGCTAGGTCAAACCATCCATCACTCTGTGGGGTTGTCACGAGACAAAATGTCTTCACAACATGAGGCAGACGAGAATGGAAATGACTGTTGTTGTTCAGATAACCCCACAGCGCTGATTTATCAGTTGACTTTATTGGCCTTATTCTGCATTTTTTTCTTCTTCTATTGAGCTCTTTAAAAGACAACATTAACACAGACATAAATGGTAACAACAAGGTCACAGATCATTCGCAGCACAAGCTAGAAAATCGGACAATATGAGAGCATCATTAATAAATACCGTCTAAAATACTAAATGTGTCAAATATAAGTGAAGAATTTGGCACAAGCAATCTGTTCAATCATCTCACATCGGGGCAACTTCCTACTTCTAGAAATCAACAATAGCAAAATTCAAATCTGCAAATACTTCCGTTATTGACAACAAAGGACTGCCCATCAACTAAATTAACTGCTTATCAATTTCCGTTTTCTTCAGTCACTGTAAATATGTTTATCATTCACAAGGCACCACAAATACATTTTAGAATAGTATCATGTCTATTTGTGCATATATGGGAGTAACCTTTGTATTTTTTGTGAGGGTGAGAAACATTTTGTTCTTGAAATATTTTCATCCACTTTATTCTGGCCACCTGTGGTGTGGATGCATAGCTGGGTTTAAACATCTGAGGGACCTGGTGCTAAACCAAACAGCTTTTATTTCTTTCATCACATTCCCAGTGGGTCAGAAGTTTACATACACTCAATTAGTATTTGGTAGCATTGTCTTTAAATTGTTTAACTTGGGTCAAACGTTTCGGGTAGCCTTCCACAAGCTTCCCACAATAAGTTGGGGGGAATTTTGGCCCATTCCTCCTGACAGAGCTGGTGTAACTGAGTCGGGTGTGGATGCATAGCTGGGTTTAAACATCTCAGAGTAACCTGGTGCTAAACCAAACAAATACAGACTGCAAACAATCCCAGAATGATTTCTATAGCTTTAGACAAAGTACAAAAGTTTATCCCATGTATGCACAAATAGAAAATGCTAGTATCACATATTATGCTGTTGTGGATACTTCCCAATCTAACTGTCATGTTTGTTCAAGGTTAACAGAAGTAGGCCTAAGAAAAAGAGGCTTCTGGCCTTTGTTGTTGGGCGATTTACCAGTCAAGAGCGTTAAAGTGGCTATACGGCATTATTCCCAGTCAAAACTGTTCGCTGCTCTGGCACCCCAATGGTGGAACAAGCTCCCCCACGACGCCAGGACAGCGGAGTCACTCACCACCTTCCGGAGACATTTGAAACCCCACCTCTTTAAGGAATACCTGGGATAGGATAAAGTAATCCTTCTACCCCCCCCCCCCCCCCCCCCGCCCCCCCCCTAAAAAAAAAAAAAAGAAAAAAAGATATTGTAAAGTGGTTATCCCACTGGCTATAGGGTGAATGCACCTATTTGTAAGTCGCTCTGGATAAGAGCGTCTGCTAAATGACGTAAATGTAAATGTAATTCCATTGGGTAATTAAGGATTCCTTTTGGAGTGCCAATTGATTTGAACATAAATAATATATCAGAAAAGTTAAGGCATAACAGTTTGAGAGATATTCAGCAGTTAGCTATAGCATCGCTGACCGATGTGGCTGTACCGTACTCTATAGCATCGCTGACCGATGTGGCTGTACCGTACTCTATAGCATCGCTGACCGATGTGGCTGTACCGTACTCTATAGCATCGCTGACCGATGTGGCTGTACCGTACTTTATTTAATGCTTTTTTGGAGTTCAGACTGAGCAGTATTGCACACCCACTAAAATGCTTACGCTAACATGCAACGGAATACAAATGTATAGTGGAGAGTGCTTTGCGTGAGGATAGCTTTCGATGTAATTTACAAATATGATGCATTACTTACATTTGTAATACAGAACACTGTAAATAATGCTTAAATAATCTATGAGCCTTGTTTGTATGCACGCGGTTGTCTCGCTAGACACACGCAGGCCTACTGACAGTATCCGTTCTAATTTTGATTGGGAAGTGCTGGAAACCCATGATAACATAGCAATGGCATTTCAATAGATCAGTTACATGGGTTTATCCACTTATTTATCTTTGTAATGGATACTCTTGGTCATGTTATCATCGTTGTACCCAATTAGTTCTTAGAGTTGTAGCCTAGTCGTCGAATGAATTTGCGAAAGATAGCTTGGCGGAGTTGTGAAATAAAGGATTCTACCTGTGCTGAGTACATGCCCCTTTGCCCCTCCGCTTGTCAAGTGCCCTTTTGGATGGTGGTATAATAAAAGCAAAATTTGTATACAGTTTTTGTCGTTGTTCTGAACCCGCAAGTCGTTGTGACATCGTCAAGTTCTCAACCGTCAACCCCGTCCGTTGGTTTGGGGCTGTTGGTCTGCCCTGTACGGAGCTCACGTGCGCCCGGTTGTGCCTTTTTACCCAGTCTGCCCTGTACAGAGATTGTGTGTAGCAAGCTACCTAGTTTAAATATCAAAAGTACTGCCACAGCAGTAGATTTTAAGCATCTGCCCCCTGTAAGGTCTGCACAGCCCTGAGTAGGGCACTACACTACCCTCTTAGGGAGAAGACTTCTTCAGATTTCCCCTTAGGATAACCCTTTTTGGTTCCAGGTAGAATCCTTTTTGGGTTTCATGTAGAACCCTCCTGTGGAAATGGTTCTTCATGGAACCCAAAAGGGTTCTACCTGGAACCAAAAGGGTTCTACTGGGAACCAAAAATAGTTATTCAAAGGGTTGTCCTATGGGGACAGCCGAAAACCTCTTTTAGGTTCTAGATAGCACTTTCTTTTCTAAGCCTGTACTGG